GGGGCAGTAGTTCCTATTTCTACTCCCAGTTTGTAGCACCATAAGGCTATAAATATAGCCTGAATGAATGGAGTTGGCATTGGCTTTTCTACAAACAAACTCTCTCTCTCTCTCTTCTCCTTATTCTAGATCCTTCTCCCTCTTGTTAGATAACTTGAGCGTATCACTCTAGTAAGGAGTCCGGATCTGCTCCTCACAAAGAACGCCTCACACTGACCTCACAGTCTGTCCTGGCCGCACATCGGAAACATCTCCCATACTTGTATCTATTATTCATGGGGGATGTTTCCAATACAAGGTGCAATGTGGTGTGGGGTCGGTGTGAGGCATGCTCTGTGAGGAGCAGATCCCTTTTCTCCATCAAGATATTATTTTTTTCTCAAAAATAATTCTTTTCAAACCCTACTCTATTTTTTCCCGATGGAACATACACCACTGAATCATTCTCTCAGCTCTTCTGTATTCCGTTTTTTCACAGATTTTTTAATAATACAGTTGCATGGACGTTTTGTGTCAAAATGGTTCTTAACCAAACAAGTCTTTTTTCCCATATTAAAGTGGAAATGCCATTTGGTGCTGATGTGGTGGCATTTCCACTTCAGCTAGCGACATATCAAACATTGCCTTAGATGGTGTTTGGTTATCATGGCAGTTTGAGTGTGATGTTTTCTGTAGGAAAGGAAAAACACCACGCCACATTAAAAACGGCCCCACAGCCCATCCCAGTCATATATTGGGAATATCTCCGCATGAAAAATTCGGATGATGTATTGTTCCCAATGCACATTGAGATGTACTTGTGGGGTGCCAATCCAAACTCATTTTTGGTGTTTTGAGTGAGACATTTTATGTGACTCCGAATCTATACCCACAGAACACGGCTGCCCTGTATTGGAAACATCTCCCTTTTGTGTTGCAAATACATAGGAATAGATGAACTATATCCCCAAATCATTTGAAGAAATTAATGGCTGATGTGGTGTTTCGAACGTGCTGAGCTGCACACTTTCCAAGGCATTTGCATTTCTTATCATTTTCTCCTAAGACGGTCCATCTAAACATGATTTTTGACCATTAAATTCATGTCCCATGTGTACTCAAAAACGCAACACCACGCAACCATACCAAATAATGCCTAAATCATCTGTTACTACTTTTTCCCATATCCCTTTTGTTTATCCCTAGTCCTTTTAGGCTCTAGCCCCTTCAATTTATAACAAACCATCTTACTCCAATTTCTCTCATTTTCTCACTAATTGGGGTGTTCAATATACATACATATACATACACATACACAAATATATTTATACCAATATTTAAAATTTTATTATGTATCGGCCTGTATCGATTGATACATATCGTATTTTTGAGATTATGGCATGGAGAACAGTACCAAATTTTTAGTATAATTTCTCATCGTGCTCGTATCGGTAATGTTTCAGACTTTCAGTGAGTATCAGCCTATTTAAGTGTTGTATTAGTCAATACAATGTGATTTTATTGTTGCGAAAAAAAAATTCATTCGAAAGAGGGCTCCTAAACCCATTTTAGAAGCCCTCTTTTTTCCCCAAACCCTCTACAAAGCTTCATACTATTCCAAGAGATTAGGGGTGGGTTCGAGCCAAACCAAGCTGAATAGTACAGGTTCAAGCTCGATTCGAGCTCGGCTCAAGTAAAAAATTCATAAGCTCGAGCTTGGCTCGGTTCGAGCTCGATTTTGAGAAAAAAAATATTTTATAAAATAAAAAATTATATATAAAAATATTTTTATATATAATAATTAATAATTATAATAATTTTATTTTATATATATATATATATATATATATATATATATATTCGAGCCGTCTCACGAGCCAAGCTCTAGTATACTCGAGCTCGGCTCGTTTAATAATCAAGCCAATGAATTAGGCTTGAATTCGAGCTCGATCTCGGTTGAAACCGAGCCGAACCGAGCTTTTCACGAGCCGAGGTCGAGCAACTCGTGAAAAACTCAACTCGTTGCCACCCCTACTAGAGATTGAAATCTAGCCAAAATCCACCAAAACATCCACAAATTTGCAAGATCTAACAAGTTTTTCAATATTGTTAAAAAATAAGTAAAAATATGTATTTTTTTTATTTTTTACAATTTTAGAAAATGTTTGTGTGTGTGTGTGTGTGTTTTAGTTTGGATCTTAGAAAATTCTTTGTCTATGTTGATATGCTATTTTTGTGCAAAAAATTCCACATATTTTGCTCCTATATATAGATCTTTGTGAATATTTGGAGAAATTCTAGAATAGTAAAAAATCTAAAAGAAATGAAAATTTTAGGTTTTTCTTGTGATCTACCTCTAAAAATTGATTATGTTGTAGATCTATGGATGATCTACCATATCCATAAATCAATTGAAAGTTTTTCTAAATAATTAATTTTTTATTTTTTTTAATTTTTGGAATAATATATAATATATAGATAATTTCTTCAAATTTATGTGATATAACCCTAAAGGTTGAGTACGTTTTGAGCTAAGACTAACATCAACATATTGAAATATCTTGTGAAAAAATTAATTTATTTTTTATTTTTAGATTATAAATATTTATTTATTTCTCTAATTTTTTTCTATGATTTAAATTCTAATAATAAATATTTACAATAAATATATGGAGGATCTATTATGTCCATAAAACCATTCAATTTTTCTGTTACATATTTACTTTTTTTTTTACTTTTAGTTTAATTTTTAGAATAAAACATGCAAAATAATTTGAATAAAAATTAATAATTATTTAGTTTTTGGAATGAAACATGCAAAATAAGTATTTCATCTATTATGTCTATAAATCCACTAAATTTTTATGTTACATATTTACTTTTTAGAATAAAACATGCAAAATAATTATTTGAATAAAATAAATAATTATTTAGTTTTTAGAATGAAACATGCAAAGTAATTATTAATTTTAGAATAAAAATAATAGATGTCCATGAAGCCATTCAAAAAAAATATTTGTTTATTTTTTAGAATAAAACATGCAAAATATTTATTTGAATAAAAATAAATAATTATTTTAAAATACAGAAAAATGTTTGATTCAATCATTATAAATTTTACATAATTATTTGATTCAATAATTGTTAATTGTTTAATTGGATTAGATAACACTTGGAAAAATGCTTAAAATAATTAAAAATATTTAAAAAATACAGAATAAAAGGCATTGATATATTTCATATGGTAATCTATAATTTGAATGTGAATATAATCGTGGCCTCAGAAATATGAAAACAATTATTATTAGTTTAATTGGATACTTTGTACTTGTATTATATAATAATTGAAAAAGAAAAATTAATTTTTTTAAATTTCATAATAACAATTGAAAATTAGTTTACTAACGCATTAAGACTTAAAATTGGATAATTTATATAATAATTGAATTTTTATGTAATTCATGTAAAGTTGTTGTAAAAATCATATTAGGATTCAAATGTTGAATTTGTAAATTATAATTGATTTAAAATTTGAAATTGGAATTTGGAATATTGGAACTGAATTAAGTACTTTATTAGATAGTATGTTTTTTATTCCCATTTGTTGATTATGATATGTTTTTTCATAAAACCCATTAATTAGTGATATTGATGTTTATTTATGATTTATTAGAGTATTTATAGCATTTCCATGTGTTTCCATGTTTATCTTAATTCTTCATCCGTATTCACACATATCCAAGACATATCCCAACACATCTCTTAAATTTACCTTTCCGATACACAGCATTTCTAATACTTTGAACCTTGATTTATACAAATATTTACATAAATAGATGCATATTTATATAACATTTACACCTATAAATATGAAATAGTGCCAGATTTGGATTGGCCAAACCTCAAACCCTAATCAGAATCAAAATCCCTCCGAATTGAAATAAGAATTATTTATTTCGCCTACTTGGCTCAAACAGGAATTGAAATAAATTGGAGTGGGATTTCATTCCTAAGAGAGGAGGGAATAACCATTGCAACACAAATGGGAATGGAATTCCAATTCTACCCAAGCACACGGTATCAGAATGACACCCATTTTGATTCCAATTCCAGAACCCTGTTCTTATGAACAAAACAACGGGCCCTATGTTTAATGAAAATCTTTTTAAAATAATGAACAATTTCTCTGGTAGCAAAAAATAAAAATAAATTAAAAAAGATTTCCCCAAATTAGTATCAATTGACGAATTGAAGCAAAAACAAAGAAATGCGATCAAATCCGAACTCGTGATTTTTTTGGTGCTCCACGATGTTGCATTAAATGTATCAAATGGCTCAATAGCCTACAAGGAGAGGAGGAAAAAAAAAAAAATCACGGATTAATACAGGCACCTCCTTTCCCCACTTAACAATTAAAAATTTAAAATTATAACCTAAAGGCACAGAATAGCTATGCTCCCTCACCCTCGCCCAATCCCCTTGTTTGGGGCTGGCCGGCTGGGGGGTAGAATACAACTCCACATTTGGAACCTCAAAAGCTGGGCAGCCGGTGACACCATGGAATATTCTGACACTGTTAGACCAATAGTTTTCTGCCACGTACCTTTTCCAGTTAGGCTACACCATAATTTAAAAGAGTTTGATCAGTTGTTCTTCGGCATTAAGAACATCCGTTGCCAGAAACCATCTTTTAAGCACTGCAATCTTTCATGGAGCAGCCCAGAACGGTCTTGGAGCTGTTGAACGCTCATGATTACTTTTGGGCGATTCTACACTGCTTCCTTCTGTGTCATCGTCCTCTCCATATTCCATCAATTTGGACAAAGTATCTGAAAGTAACAAAATTACATCATATATTTATAAACTTGCAGATTACGAATCGACTTATAACTGTTCCAAGTGGGCAATTTATTGCAGAAAAAAAAATGAAAAGAAAAGTTCCTCGGTACCAGGGACAGGATCAGCTATTGATTTTGTTAGTGTGGTAGTATGTCCATTTGATTTTGTCGGAGGTGTCGATGACGTGAACTTAGGTGGTGGTGGTGGCAGCATGCTCCGTGGAGGCGGTGGTGGCATGTCCCTTGGAGGTGGCGGTGGCATCCCATTGGTTGCTGGCTCCACCAACTTCTTTGGAGGAGGCATGGTTGAAATATTTCTCACGCCCGAATCTTCTAAAGGTTCACCTGGCTTAAGAAATTCTGATCCCTGTAGTGAGTTCTGAGAAAAACAAATTCAAATACCCTCAACAACCGTTAGTTATGGACTAAAATACTGACATACCATGACAGTCCAAAGTCTCAAGTCAATGAATGAGAAAGACTTCCGTCTAAGAAAAGGCCAAGAAGAAAAAGAGGTGCTACCAAGGGAATGAATCAGGATACCCCAACAACTGGTACCGTTAACACTCAGTTTCTATTGATGATGCTGAATGGACAGAATGGGAAAAAAATACAAAACTCTACTGTTAGGTACCACAGCTAAGGTGCAACTTGTGGAATTGGCATTCAAAAGAAATGGCCGACTTTTTCCCTCAAAATATGGTAAAAGCAGAATATTTAGATGCATGTGTGGCTGTGTGAGTGTGTTTTTTGCATGCACTCGTGCATCTGTATCTGGATTACTAAACTAATCTCCCACACTATGAACAAAATACTCAAAGCAAAAAACATGAAATCTTGGATAAGCCTCTGGTCAAGCTTCAAGCCTTCAACCAGCAAGCACCCCTTGTCATGTTGCATTGATATTTGAAACCCTGTGAAACTACAAACCAGTAGTCCAAAAGACAGGTGCACTATCAGCCTGTCAGCTTCATAGAAGGTCAGAGAAAATACCTGGAATATTAAGTAAAACCAGTCAGCATAACCAACTATCACATCCAGAGAAGGACAAAACAATTAAGCCAAGCAACCACTCAGCTACTATTCATTATTTTAGCAATCTTAGGTATTTATTCATTTTCAAATAAAATATTCAAATGCAATTTTTATGACAATGATCATATCCAAACAAGGCTGGCACTTTTCTTGGTAGTAAATAAAATAGAAAATATATTAGGCCCCAAGAGGGGTACAATAAGAGGTGATAAGTTTTCATCCAAAGAAATAGAAAAAAGCTCCTACCCTCCAATAAAATTGAAATGACAACTTCAAAGCCCCCACTCAGACAAACAGCCACAGGAAAGTTTGACAATTAGGCCACACCCGACGCCCATCACCCAAACAAGACCGACACTTCACTAAAGGCTAGCCGGGAATCATATGCACAGAGAAGGGTAGTACAAGTGTTCAACAAAGCTAACAAGATACATTTACAGGCACTAGTAAAAGGCTTGACAATTCCTTAAGAGAGATTCAAAATCCCAGTTTCTAGACTGTCCAAATGTTTATATCCTATAGACATAGCATGCAAATTGCGACTTTGATGCAATGTTGTTGGAGAACTAAGATTCCTTGAAAGCACTCTATAGTCTATAATATGTAACTTAATAACAAAAGAAAAAAGAAAAAAATATACGGAGCTTAACCAAAGGAAAGTTTGAGTCATTAGATAATTCATATCTATTCTGGTTTCTTTGTAATAAGTTTTACTGCAACTGCTATAAAAGATTCAAACATATATATAGCAGTTGCAGTAAATTTAATCCATCTTGTAAGTTCCAAAAAAGTTAAATGCTCATCAACATTGAAATGCCACTCAAATGGCCCTTTTCACCTTCTTCTCCCCACCCCCTTTTTTGAAACTTATAAGATGGATTAAAGACATTCACACAAAAGAGATAATTTCAAAACTCATCAATAGATAGAGGGGGAAGGGAATTGCATGTCTACCTGGTATGGTTTTGCAAGCCCCTTTGAAGCAACAGGTAGCTCCTGAAACTTCCGCTTCTGTGCAGGCTTTTTCTCCTTATCGGCAGTGGAACTTGAACTTGTATTCGATGAAGCATTTCCTGTTGACACTGCAGAAGCAACTGTAGATGCAACAGGAGATGGTGTCTGTCTAAGGGCTAAGGCTACTTGTTGCAAAGGTGTGGCTTGGGGATATATCCCACCATATCCACTATAGCTAGTTCCACCAGTTACTGAAGGCTGGGGATAGGAAACCATGTTTGGTTGGGTTTGTCCATAATTAAAGAACCCCCCAGACTGTGAAACATTCACCTGAGGGTAGGCATTAGGAACTGCAGGGACTGTAGCTGAGGAAACCGGTATTGAAGGGGTAGAAAATCCAGTTGATGACATCAAACCAGCAACTGGAGCTGTGCTTACTCTATGCTCATTACCAGAGCTCTGAACTCCAGCCAACAACTGCTGTGGTGGTGGAACAGCATTATAAACCTTTGGTGAAGAGGCTCTGCACCACAGGAGATAACCACAAGTTGTATCAATGAAAAATAAAAAAACTGTCTTTGCATGATGAGATATAACCATGCTTTGGAAAAAGAGAAGAAACAAGTGGCAATGGTATTATAAAATCTAAAGCAACAACTGCAAGTATAGGTATTAATTTTGGAGTTGCACATGCTTAAAAAAAAATCTGCTTTGGCAGCGTAATGGAACAATAAGAATCTGCTACAATGGACAATCTCATGGATTTTGAACAAGGTATAGGAATGTAAAGACTAGTCTCCATATAACTATTATTAAGAATATTGGCACTTATACTTCTTTTACAGTAGATCAGAAATAACCACAACAGCCATGGCCATGCACCCAATAGCTGGTCCCTCAGATGAGTTTGTAAAGTCAGACAGGTCTCAATATAAGTTATAGCTGATTACCTGGATACACCAAACTCTGCACTGATTGTATCCATAAGATTTTCAGCCAAGCGTTTCGCTTCTTCGAGACTCTTAGGGTTGTTACTTGACAAGAATAAATGCAATGGTTGCTGTAACTCTGCAGCAAAGGTAAAGCAATGAACGATAAGTTAAATAGATATAATTAATAAAGTTTCATATCAGGTATTCATCAAAAAGAGTTTCATATCAGGTAAAATTGTATGTAAAATACCTTCACCATTTGAGCTTCCAAAATTTCCTGAACCCCGTCCCTTCAGTAAGACAGTTGCTCCTGTTTCATTCATAATGTGATTTATATACTGGTCCTGCATGTACAAATCCCAACCACCAGCAGCACAAAAACATTCTCTCCCAATTGAATGGAGATGTCAGAGAAAGCTTCAAACATTAGAACCTCTTATCTTCACCATATGCAATGGAAATTTTCAATTCATAAAAACAACAACCCAAAATGAAAAGATGAGCCATCAGAAGAGAACTGGAGTGCCAAATAGATGGACATGGGAAAAGCCAAACAAGCAAACCAGGCTAATACAAAGTAAAGGAGATAGAATGGCATGTCCTAGAGAGATGATCTTGCATATGTTATCATCTCTTTATTAATTCTCTGAGAAAGACCGGTGCCTTGTAGATGTAGTCATTAACTGATTGAATATCAATCCATAAAGATAAACAGACAAATAGAGAGAGAGAAAGAGGAGGGTGGGGGAGGCAAAACTTACGTTTGGTCCACGGATACGGGCAGCAATGTTTGTTACTGGATCAGGGTCAAAGCCCAAAAACACGCATGCACTAAGCACTTGAGTAACCTGAGTCAATCATGAAGTCAGAAATGTCAGTATGTTTATCATCTCAATGCAGTAGCTTGTAGAGTTTCTGTGTGAAATACCTGTCCTCCGTTGTTCAGAACAGAATGAAAAGTAGAAGTTGGCTGTGAATTTGGGCCCTGCTTCAGCATTTCTTCAACCATGGCAGCTGCACGATCAACTGCTTTAATTCGTTCTGCTGTCTCTTTTAACTGCAAAGCGATCCATAGAGTTTTATGAGAACCAAAATCCCATTAATATTTTTCCGTGATGATCTATCAAAAAAAAAAAAAAAAAGAACCTTGGCCCAGATGGATACACCCCCTGCCACCCCACAGGCCAAAATGCCCCAGAATGTGTATTGTTCCTAGAGAAAATGAACCAATGAGGCACCCTTACAATGATTTTTCAATGATGTCCTTTACTACAGAGGAAATTATCCTGAATATACTGAAAATAAGGGTAAAAAGAGCGTATCTGCAGTAATTTGTCCTTTTTATATGGAGAAAAAAATAACAACTCCATATAAGCCCAAACATATCATCATGAAGCACCTGACAGATTGCAAACACATCTAGAACATTCCACTAGACAGTTGTGATGACTGGCAGTTCTCTAGAAGAACTGATAACTAACCAAAATTTTAAGGAATTAGGCAACTGGTCAAGATAAAGATGCGCTCATCCAGACTGACCACCCCACAGGGTAACCTCTGAATATGTCACTTCTTTGGCATACAGGCAATTCCAGCTTACATGCCATGGTGAGTAATCTGAACCATCAAACAAACTATCATTTTTAGCCTCTCCCTTCTTGGATAATATTATTGTACTCTCTTTTTGTTTCTCATTTTCCATCTCTTTAACCTGAAGAAAGCCATTCTCTTGTACTCTGTAGACTTTTTTATCAATCAAGTTATTTCAGTTCAGAAAAGAAAAAAAAAAAACTAACTGATAAATAGTGTACTACCATGCACACCCAATATGATTTCCCAAGTAAATACAAACCCTTCTATGAATAACAAAAATCCTTCAGACTTAAGGACCAATCCATGTGATGAGACTACTAGCAGCCACACAAAGATGTTCTTTTTCTTTTCTTTTTTTTGAGAAATGATAACTATTTCATTCTGTTAAGATGTGCCGAATAGGGGTAGTTTAGTCTTCTTCTGTTTATTAAGTAACTTGCTTATGTGGCAGTGTTATTAGAGTTACTCTGCCCCACACTTAAGTAAGGGCATTTCTGTCTTTGTAAACATCATTAGAATCTAATATAGATTAAGGGGRTCGACTGGATGGGTTAACCATCAGATTTTCGACTGACCCTTCTTCTTCTCTTCTTCTTCTTCTTCCTCCTGTTCGGACTACTGTAGTAGTAGTCGAAACACATTCAAACAAAGATGAGCCAAACAAGGACCTTGTCAAGTAAAGCCAAGCATATGTCGCATTCAATCATAGAAGGAACCCATATACATAGATGCAGCTCGACTCAACGGATTAAATCCTTTCTCTTGCAAGGATCACTATAAGACTTTTCTTTGGGTTCCTCCTCCCATTTGCCCCTTCAATCCAGCAATTAGAGTTTTATACCAATAACGACTTTGAATTCCCCATCTTAACCGGGGGGGGGGGGGCATTGAGGTTATTTACAAAATTCCAAAAAATATTCCTTCCATTGACAAATCCCCCAATCTCAACCAAAGTTCATCTACAGGCCACCTAGGCTGCTGCATATAAGATCCATGAAACAACTATGAAGCTACTCCATTGGTAACTACAGTGTTGGATAGACACTCCCTTAAGGGATTAATTCTTTTGTTTTATTTAAAAAGATAACATCTGTAGCAGTCTCATATGATAAATAAATGAATGATCCATTTTTATTTAAAAAACACTGTCAAGTTGTTTCTGAGCTGGTTTGCACCAGGTTGCAGTTATTATTTACTGGACTTATTCTGGGAAGGGTTAGAGGTGATCAATATTTATAATTTTGATCTATTCTTCATTTCTCAATAAGCATCAACCAGGGATCGGGGGGCACTGACCATGCAGAACCAGATTACGAGTGTGATCATGCATTATTTTCCATTATTGGAAATATCAGCCCATGTTTCCCTACCTGGAAACGTCTCCATTTCTGCTGAATTGTTGAATCATATTGTATTAAAATGACTCCAGTGATGCTTTGTAGAAGCATTTGCCCATTTCCCAAGGGACTCAAAAGTACACCAAAACCAATATTCAGAACCCCATCTTCTCATAGATATCAATTTGACAATGTACTATTTTTTCACAAAAATAATGATGCCTATGACATTTATCAGTTTGATAACAAGTACAAGGAAAATTTCAATGCTACAAGTTGATGTATTTTAAGAGAACCTATCAAAAATTGTAGTAAATAATTCAAGGTCCTTTGGGAAATTACATGCCAAACCATTTAACTATTAATTCATTATTAGAAATCACCACTTACATGAGCTCCAGCAGAAATGTGAAGATATAGTGGTTTTTCACCATCAGGCAATGCATTAGGAGGACGATACTTGCCCCTGTAAAGACAATTTTACATCATATTAGCATGCATATTCCTAATATACCAAAAGATGGCCACAACCCCTGATATTTAAGAATATGCTCACCTTGTTATGACCACGGCACCGGTGCACCTCTGGATCTGCAGAGTCAATACAATTATGTTTCAGTTATTTATTCCATGAAAAGAAGTATGAAGTTCCAACCTAAAAGATCAGTAGTTTAATTATGAAAACTGAATCTAAAAGAATTCACCTCTTCTTGTGTCTGGCGTTTTGTAAGCTTGTAACGAACAGAAGATTCAGCATCATTTATGACAATTTCACGGGCTATTAGTTCATCTTGTATCTTTGGCTGAAAGAGCAGAATTTACAATTATTAAACATGAACAGAGAAACAAATGGACAAAGATGCTTACAACGACATTTAACCTCTCATATAAAATCATCAAAAAGGAAACTGCCAAAGTACTTCTAAAAGCATATTCTTGTCGATGGAAATGAATGGAGATAATCACCCATTTACATTTTTTATTTTAATAAATGCAATTGGAGTAATAAAGGGAAAAGCAAAATGGACATCATGAGGACAATAGGGACATAAAAAAATAAAAAATAAAATAAAAAACCTATTTAACAGGTAACTCACTTGATTTATCTTCTGGGCGATTGCAGAAGCACTCTGCTGGATGGAGGGCGCCTGAAACACCTGAGGGATAGCTGCGCAAGTAGCAGGAAGTTGATTTGACAACATGGCACTGGAAAGTGGTACTACACCTGGAAGTGTAATTCCAGCAAGAGCTCCCATGTTTCCCAATGGAAGGACTCCGGGCACAGCTAGTCCAGCTGATACCAAGGATTCTGCAGGTTGGTCCCACTTTCTCTTTTTCCTGCTGACATTTACTAAAAGCTTAGCCTCCAAGTGCAAATATCTAGCACAAAACAATCTTAGCATTGCAAATCAAACACAGTAATACGAATTGTAAATTATTGGAGAAAAACTGCCTCTCATTTCCATTCTGTTCAACTTAACAAAGCCTTGCCCCAACTAGCATGGTTTTTGTATATTTAAAGCACTTCCGATGATTCAGTTCCACAAATTCAGCAGTAGATTTTTCTGTGTTTGTCATTTTAAGGACCTTATTCACTTGTAAGTTATAAAAAACCCTTGCTTGACCAAGTCAAGAAACAGGTAAGAAACATGCATACTCACCCTGTCATTGATATAAAGGTTTCGTAAAGAAAGCAGAAAAAACGATCCACAAAATTGTCCTCCTTCGGAAGTTTATAAAAGATTAGCAGCTTACCCCAAATGATCGGTCAGGGAAAAACAGCATTTATCACAACCAAAAGGTACAAGGATTCAAAGACAAATCGTGTCGTAAAATTAAAAACAAAGCACCAGCAAAATATAAATATTTTATAAAACAATAAACTGGTTGCTTAGAGAAAAGGTAGGAACAGTAAAAAGAAAATTGACTCCTCATTCGATACAGTAGCTCTATTATCATACAATAGAAAAGTTACAACTAAAATAAACATCAATCTAGCTTGTTATCCCGAAACCAAGCTCTTCTATTGCTCCGAGATAAATAAACAACAATAACAGAAGGAGGAGGAGGACGACAACGAGGGCGAGGAGGTTAGAAATCCTATCCTTTTCACTTAACCCATTATCCAGATTTCTTTATGCAAGTAGCAAACAAACACGGATGATTTAAGATCGAGATTATGAAAAAAAAACTAGCTCAATCTAAAAAAGAATAGCAACTCTACATATATCAGTAAAACCCTAGATCTAACGAATTCCAACAAACCAAAGCCAAAAATCGTACCTGTAACAAATTAGCTTCAGAATCCTAATTAGAGAAATTAGGGTTTAAGAGAGATATACCTTTGTCTTGTCGCTGAAGTCGTGTTCTCCTCTGAAGCTTTGGGGCAACTATCCTCTGTCATGGTCCTGGGATTTGTGTTGGGAAGACGAAGAACACAAAAACCGAAGTACCCCCTTCACGTCGTATCGCTCTAACTGTAAAATAGTTCGTTTTTCAGAGCGGGATGAAGGATAATTTAGGAATGAAATAAGCGTGAGACACCTTATAAGCAACAAAGAGGATTGATCCTATCCGTCCATTTTGTCCCACCTTTGACGTGAAAGAAGTGACGATCCATCAATTGGACGGCCCCGATGGTTAAGAAGGTTCGGTCGATTGGATGAGTTGTGACTTGTGAAACAGGGTATAGGGGGTTCTTTCAGCTTTACCAATCTTACCGTCTATAACCGGGCCCACATGTACATTGGGACTGGATTTGATCTGATCCACCTACCTCTGAGATCTACCGGTTGCTGTTGCTGTTAGGCGTGCTCACGGTTCGGTTAATCGAACCTGGGCCTATTTTTTAAACCGAACCGGTATTATCGGTTTATGGAAAATTGGTAACTAAAAGCGAATTGAAATACCGGTTCAGCTAACCATCAGTTTGGCTCGTCGATTTTTTTGGTTTTTTATATTTATAATATATTATTAAAATATAAATATATAATAAAAAATTAGAAATATATATAATATTGTATTTTAAATAATAAATATTATATTATATATTATAAATACATTTATATATAATGTATATTTATTAATTTATAAAATATCGAAAGTGTAAAATATATAATAATAGAAATATATGTGTATAGGTCGATTCAGTTAATTGTCGATTTTCTATATTGCTTAACCAAAACTGAATCGATACTTTTGATTTTTAAAAATACCAAACCGATCAGTTCAATTAACTAAATTTTCAATTTGGTTTTACGGTTTTTCTTGCTCACCCTAATTGTTGTAGGATAGCACTCAACGACTTCACCTCATAGCTTATTCCTTATCTATGAAATAGCAGAATAAATAAATGTGTGAGGGGAAAAAAGAAAGGGGTTATACGAAAAAAAAAATGTGATTTCAATTTTCCTATAACTATAAATGCCTAAAAACTTTTTTCATTAATTTTCCCTGGTTCTAAAGTTTTTATTAGTTATGAATAAAAATAAGAAAGGGTTAATTTATACCTTTTACGAGGAATGAAGCTTACTCTTTTAGGATTTATATGCTGTTCAGAACTTAAATACATAAATGGTTAATTAAATAAAATAAATATAAATAGCAAAAAAATTATATTTTTTTAGTTTTATAGAAAGTACAAAGACAAATAACTAGTTAATTTTGGTGAAATTCTAAATAATTATAGCAATCAATAGATTTTTTTGAGAGGGGAGAGGTATCATATGCTACACTATGGCCAATCCATCCCTAATGGCAACAAATTTGATCATAGACTAGGCAATCTATCACAAGTGGAACACTTGCATGTAGGGATGGACACGAGTCAAGCTTTTCACGAGCCATTCGAGCTCGGCTCGGCTCGGCTCAAATCGAGCTTCGAGTTGAATTCGAGCTTTATACCATATTGATATAGTAATCGAGTCGAGTCCAAGTATTTTGAAGTTCGGCATAATTTATATTTTCATATATATATTATACCTTTTTTAAGAAATTTTATTTGTGAAACTATTTTATAATGATAATCCCTTATACACGGTACAATTTCAGAAACCAAAAACCCTTCGACCTAACCTAACCCTTCGAAAGTTCAATGCTCTTCTCATCTTTGTCCTCTTTCTCTTTGGCCTCTACTCTCTCGTCTCTCTTCTCCGACTCCGAGTCTCCTCTCAAGCTCTCAGTCTCGGCGGTCAAGCACTCAAGCTTTAGCCTCTCACCAGTCACCAGACTCACCACCACCATAGCTCCACCTCTCACCTCTCCTCTCCTCTCTATCCTCTCTGTTCTCTTGTCTCTCCTCTTCGAGTCTCCTCTCAACTTTCAAGCTCTCAGGCAGTCAGGCCTCAGCCTCTCACCGGTCACCACCACCACAGCTCTGCGTCTCGTCTCTCCTCTCCTCTCAGCTCTCAACTAAAGCTCGCAATCGCAGTCCAAAGACTCCAAACTCGCAAGTCGCAGGTCGCAGCCATAGCTCGTAGATCGCAGACTCTTAGCCATAGGCCGCAGCCTCTCCACTTATCCAACCTCTTGCAACACTCATAGACTCACAGTGAATTGGTACAAGGGCAAGGACATATTAGGTTTGCTTTCGTCTTCTTTAGTTCTTTTCATTCTGTTTTGCTTCTCAAAACAGAAATACAGTTCTAGAACATTTTTTTTGTTGATGTGGTGATTTCAATAACAAATAAATAAAAACATTATTGTTGTAGATAACCGCCTAAAACCATTCATTTTTGCAAACTTAGTTGTTTTGTAAGAAAAGAGGAAGAGATGAAAGAGTGATTACATAATTTATTTATTTTTTTTAAAAGTGTTATTTTTCCAAACAGTGTTTCATAAATCTCGAATTCGCTTGAGTTTGAGCTTGGTTAATTATCGAGCTCGAGCCGAATCAAGCTCGAACACATACATTCTGTACTCAAGCCAAACTTGAGCATCCATTTCTGATTCAAATCGAGCTCGAGCCTTGCAGTTTTCTACCGAACCGAGCTCGAATACTCAATTATTCGGCTCGGCATGGCTCGTGTCCTCCCCTACTTGCATGTTATGCACACAAATAGGCCTGTCATCAGATTGGATTCATCTAAATCTAAGTTCGATTTGACATGTTGTTGGATGCATCTGATTCTAATCTAAAATCCTTATGTGTAGGGAATCCGGGTTTGAATCTGATCAGATTTTTTGGATTTTAATCCAACTCCAACTAAAGCTACCTATTTCAGCAGTTGAATGGTCACAATTGCCAAATGTAATATCATTAAAACAAGATCTATAATCAGTAATTCTTACTCAAAAGTTTTGAAACGATTTTGTAATCTGTAAAATTTAATTTTTTATTTCAAAAATCTTGAAATAATCTATATTTTATTTAGAAGAAATGAAAACCTATAGTCAAGAAGAAAATGGTACATGAGAGCTCTATGGTCAAGAAGAGAACTTAGGCGAGAAAAAAATGACGGTGACGAGAAAAAAAATGGCAATGACAACTTGGTTGTTGTAGAGAGTGAGAGTTGAGAGAGGAGAGAACAACATCAACTTGGCAAATGGGAAGGTGAATTAGGTGACAGCAAGAGAGGATAGGTGAGAAGAAAATGTTGACTGTTGAAGTGTCGAGTGAGGGTTTAAGATTTTAGGACCGGCCGACTGGGGATTTGAGGAACAGATTTCCTCATTTACTCCTAAGAAATTTTATCTATTCCATTAATGAATAAAAGTATATAATATAAAATATATTTATATTTATAAACACATCGGACTCAGATTTTTATCGGATCAGATGGGGTGAATCCAAGCTCGATCTGATTTTTAATCAGATTCTACTTCCATCTGAACCCGATCCAATATGACATTTACCTCATACAAATTCAAGATTATCGGATCGGGTCACGGGTTTATAATGGGTCTATATACAAAACACTAACATGTCCACTCGTGATAGGTCACCCAACTAATTGTGTATGATTTTATCTTTGGTCAATCCAGTCCCATTAGTTGTTCTACCTCCGAAGGTAGAAGTTGAATATAAAGTGGGTTTGGTGGAGTTTGGGTTGACTCCATGATAGCACACCCCACACATGTCCCATAGCACATCCCAATTGTGCATTGGAATGTGTTGTAAGACACGTTCCCTCAAGAGCCAATCCTATTACAATGGTGGGCATAAGTTTCAATTAGATGCAAGAATTAGAATATTGATATTGGTGTATCTAAATATATCTGATTATATCGATACAAGAGTTTTTTTTTTTTAAATGTTCAGGCCTTAAATATATATGTGGGACCTTTTAATGTCTATAAAAAAAAAGTAAAAGAAAAAGGTATCAATTATATCAATAATTTGATACACACCGACACCCAGTTGAAGGTATTGGACATATCGATATGTTAAAAGATTTTGTCTCTCTATTATGAATAAAAATTTGGGAGTACAATTTTCTTAGAGAGAAATGGGAGAGTTCTCTTATAAACTGAAATTCCAATCTGATGATAAATAAACACATCATTCACCCATGCAAGGGCCTTTGTTAAATCCTACCCTGATGCGTTGCGTGGATATATGACCTTAAATAAAGAGATTCATGGTAGTCAATATTTAGAGTTTTATGGCTTTGGGAAATTTAGAGGTATAAACATAAACTACTGTTTGGTAGGAAAACATAAATCATCTCTACTTTTTTATATGAAAAAAATAAATTTCAATGATTTTTTTTTTCAATTCGGGGGTGTTCCATGAAAGTATATGTGATTTTATTTTTCAAAACAAAAAGCTGCCACATCTTTTCTTGCTGACATGGCAACTGTCAAAATCATACATATTGGCAAACACCCCCTTAATGGGTGTCAACTCCATGTTTTGTTCCATATGAAACTTCTTTACCTCTTTCCTTTGTCAATAAAAGAAATCAAATAAAAAAATATAAAAATTCGACCAGATTTTAACTATTATTTTTTATTTATCAAGCAGAGAAAACATATTTATTTGGCAGAAAAATGCATATTAAGATAACATATTTTTTTTCCTTTTTACATTTTCATGTAGTCAATTGGGGTGTGAACGGATCGAATTTGAACCGAATCAGGCAATATCCAAATTCGAATCCAATTAGAAAATCCAATATCCGATGGATATTGAAAAGTAATATTCGAATTCTATTCAAATTTGACCAATTGATTATTTTAGGTAATTAATAAATATATAAAATAAATATTTTATTTATATGAAGTATATAATCATATAAATTATTTACATAACTTAATTATTTTATATAAATTATACAAAATTTTTAAATATTTTATATATTATATGCAAGAATTAAATAATCGGTTGAATTTAGATATTTATTGAATCGAATTAGGTCATATTCGAATTTGAATCCGATTAACTATTTGATATGAATAGGATATCCAAATTCGACCAATTAGATATTTGAATTATCCGAATTCGATTCGATTATGCCGAATCTCAAATTTGAAATCAAATTTTTGAATACCATTGACACTCCAATATCCAATCCCATATAATTGAGACAGAGGCTTATATGACAATGATTATGATGATAATCTTATTTTAACTTCTTTATCAATTACTTGGACAAATAAGAAAGTTGATACTTGTTAAAAATTGAAAGGTGGAGATGGGATTCAACTCGTGCATGTTATCTGAACCCGACGTATTTTATATAAGTTGAAAGAAAGTAATTTGGAACTACATATCCCGGATTGAAGATGAGATTGATGAAGTGGTGATAATAGCTTCAATTTCAATAACCTAATGAATAACCATTTTTCTTTAGGCTACTCACCTTGCATTGTTGTCAAGGTTCAAAATATCTAGTGGTGTGTATCATATAATACTATCGATTTTTGAATTCATCAATATGCAAAATAGTAGATACTATGAATTAGGATATCTGACCACTTTTGAAGGTCCAGGAGATCTCTTGACTCAATTTTTGAAATTAAAAATAACAATAACAATAATAACAACAATAATATAATCAGGGGCTGAGCCAGGGGAGCCATGGCTCCCTCTATAGTTCAGAAAATCTCCACTATAATACAGCTTTCTATGTAAATTTTCCCCTCCCCCCATTCTCCACCTCAATGGTTGGCCCCTATGGGTCCATCCATACTTCATTTAGGTTTTGGCCCCCCTTATAAAAATTTCCTGGCTCCACCCCTTAATATAAGAGTATAACCCCTTTAAATTGCACAATACAAAATTTTTTATATTGTGATTGGGATGTGTTTCCCTCCCTTGGGATATTTCAGGAGGCCGGCCCGGCACGGCCCACTTCGAGCCTACATGAGCTCGTGCTATGCTGTGTCGTAGGCCGAGCTATAGACCAGGCTAAGCCATGAAAGGTATATTTTTTAAAAATTTGAAAAAGTAATAAAAGATTTAAAATAAATTAATAAAATAGACAAAAAATAAAAAAGTCTTAAAGTTATTTTATATGAATTTTGATGTATACAATATACAATAATAAAATGAAATAGTATAATAAAATTGAAAACAAAGTTATATATATATATATATATCATCAACATCTCCTGCAAAATCAGTATCAATATATCCTATCAGTTCTAACTTATCACAATAATAGTTTAGTTTAATACTTTTAGTTCCTTGGAGATATCTAAAGATTCATTTTATTGCATTCCAATGACATTTTCCTGGGTTACTTTGGAATTTACTAACCAAGCTAACAACAAAACTTAAGTCAGGCCGAGTACAGAGCATGGCATACATAAGACTGCCTACAGCTTGAGCATAGGGTTTCTTAGCCATTTCTTCCTTTTCTTGTTCATTTTTTGGGCACATATCTTTTGCTAGTTTTGTTCCCATTATTAATGGAGTGTCAACCAGTTTGCATTCATCCATTCTAAATTTCTTAAGCATTGAATCTATGTATCTTTCTTGTGATAGGGTCAAAGTTCTTGTTTTTCTATCTCTCTATTTTTATTCCAAGAATAAATGAAGCATCACCTAAGTCTCTCTATTTTTAAAGATTCTTTTTATTGCATTCCAATAAGATTTTCCTGGGTTATTTTGGAATCTACTAACCAAGTAAACAACAAAAACTTAAGTCAGGCCAAGTAAAGAGCATGCCATACATAAGGCTGCCTACAGCTTGAGCATAAGGTTTCTTAGCCATTTCTTCTTTTTCTTGTTCATTTGTTGGGCACATATCTTTTGTTAGTTTTGTTCCCATTAGTATTGGAGTGTCAATCTATTTGCATTCTTCCATTCTAAATCTCTTAAGCATAGAATCTATGTATCTTTTTTGTGATAGGGTCAAAGTTCTTGTTTTTCTATCTCTCTATTTTTATTTCAAGACTAAGTCTTTCATTTCAAATTGAGAGTTTAACCAATTCTTTGTCTTTTCTATTAAATTCATATCATTTCCAGCAATCAAGATATCATCCACATAGAAAGACTACAACACAATGGAACTCCCTCTATTTAGGACATAAACACAGTGATCAAAGGTATTTGGAACAAAACCAAGTTTTATGATTGTATTATGAAAAGTATAATACCACATACGAGGAGATTGTTTTAATCCATACAAGGACCTTTTTAATTTATATAGATTTCCTTCTTGTCCCTTTATTAAATATCCTTCTGGTTGTTGCATATAAATTTCTTCATTAAGTTCTCCATTTAAAAATGCAGTTTTTACATCCAATCCTGTTATCGAAACCTTTGACACACAACGTTATAAAACTTTTCTATTGGAGAGAGCTTATCCAATCCGAGAATAAAAGCAACCACTTGGAACTGTTTGGCCTCTTTGATCAAGGGACAAGTGTCCTACATGGTAGGATTATTTGCCCACAATCTATCAACTATCCTGCCAAACTTTGACCACAGCAAACAAGCAATATGCTGACATGGCACTAGTTTGTTTAACTTGCAAAGTAACAAAAAATAACAATAGATAGGAGACAAGATTATTTACCCATTGGTGTAGGCTATGCCATCGGCCGTAGGATTTATCCATACACCAAAGTTATACTAAATCGAGGGCATTTGGCCACTTAGATCAACATAATCAGCTTTTGAAGCAACAGCTTCTCTAAGTTGAACACCTGCGTAGCAGATAAACAGGTTGGCACCTCCTGGCCTACGAGCCTGTATAATGCAATGTAGAAAGAGGAATATCATATTGGCCCCAAAAGTTTCTCAAGTAAAATAAAATAACAAAGAAATAAAATTATAAGACACTATAAACAAAGGAATTTTCGCCAATGAACTGATAAAATGTTTCCATTAATCTACAAACTACATATCTAATCATTGTGATTTTGCATTGTAAACATCTAAACTAAGTACTATAGAATCCAGATCAATGACCATATACAATATGTTTTCAACACAGCCTGCTACATTTACATCTGCAAGTTAACAAAGGAGATTGTTTATTATACACATCCAATGATATTAAATTCATAATTATAAGTGAATTACTTGAGCGTCAAGTCAAAATCAAAGAGAAAACATCTTTAGTTCGTCACTCTACTTGCAGCTAGAATTTAGGTGTCAGAACTTGCTTAATTGGCTCAATGCTGGTGTCATTAGAAAGCTTATTCAGCCATCCATCAAACTTGTCCAAGATCATGCAATTTGTACATGAATCGAGCAAGTTATGGCTGATTTCAGACATCTGCCAAAATCTGTTCAAGTTTGTGTAATGTTGAATTTATTCTGATATGTAATTGTTGTAGGAGTTGTTTCCTTGTTAGAAATTCATATCAAAATTTTAATTGGTTTAAAAGTCAATTTTAGAAGCTTTTTAGGAGTTCTAGTAAGTTTTGAAGACAGTACAACTATAGCCTATAGGTATAAGTTGGAGAGCAATTAGGAGTTGTTAAATCAGAGAAATGATTCTGTATAGGGTCCATATATTTGCTTTGAAATAGGAGGATAAGAATTGACAAGAATTAGAATACAATTTTGCCTTTGGTTTAATTTTCTTTTGCCTCGATGCCAAAATTTTCTCGATGGTTTTGATTTCTTTAAGAAGCTATTAGGTGTTTATTCCTAATAGCTGCTCTAGGTCTTAACTCCTAGAGAAGCCTAGGTGCTCATTAGCAAGTGTTTTTCTTCTCTTTTTTTCGTATTTTGCAGGTCCATCCTATCTCAGTTTGGTATCAAAGCCAAGACCTGCATCATAACTGTTCCAAAATAGTTGTGAAGATGATGATGAAGTTTGGGTATATTTTCTTACCTCAAGGCCAGTTGCTCCATCCCCAATCATGACTAAGCTCTTGTATCCATGGACCTAAAAATTCAACATAATCAGAAAGAATTTAAAGTTGCAAACACCTTAACCAATATCTAATTGCATATCTCCAAGACTGACCTTTCTTATATGTTGAACTGCAGTTGCTTTCCCACCACTCCTTGAAGTAAACTCATTCCTGTCAAACCCAAGGAACTCTCCAGAACTTCTAAATAGTAGTTGATTGGTAAAAATGTTTTCACATGGAATCCCAAGAAGTGATGCAACAGCTTCAAAGAAAAATATTCTAGTTATTAATTTCAAAATAAATTCAGTTTCCAAAATATCTGCATGTTGAAATATGAACAACAACACCTTCAGATCAAACAAAACAGTACAGATCTCTTGTAGGTCTCAGCAATGGAAAATATTAGAAACCAGAAATTTGCTCCTAGGAGTTGCAAAAAGCTGTAAAGTCATGGATCCAAGCTACCCAATTGATGGTTTTAAAGTGTAATTAGACAATTCTATGAAGGATTTTTTTATTGATATATGTTTAGACTTTTCAAGTATGAGAATGCAACTAACTTTTTTCCTTTCCATGCTTAAACAATATTTTTCCTCCTGAATAAGCAATTATTCTATTTATTGTTTGTGACTTTCTCATCCATTATCAGTATACAGATCCCACATGGCCATGTATGATCGGTAAAAGTAAAAGTTTCCAGGAATTTGAAGGAACAGGGTATCATAATTTGAGAGGATAATGACCTTTTTTTTTTTAATTCAATATGTGTGTGTGTGTGTGAATGACCATGTGCAAGCCAGAAAGGAATAGTGCTATAATTACAATACTATCAAAATTGTCCATGGAATAATTAAGACCATGCAATGTTTTGGCATTTCAATAATGTATATTTCAGTGCACAAGACCATAAAAAAATCCACCTAGAACAGTTCACTAGATGGCTGAAACTTTTAAACAAGCTAATAATACAAAACTTCAGGCTTTGTGCACAGTATTTGATAACAGTACATGGTAAGAACATCTTCCAGGTTCAGTTTCTTCAGATTCAAAGTTAAATAATTAAATTGATCACATGGCAGTTTCCTTAGAGTTAATGTTAAAATAATCACCTAGAAATAAGAGGCCTTTTCTATGGTCAAGGGTCACACTAGAGAAAGGTCATCTAGTAGAGAAAAGATCCTCTTTAAAGTTAAAGAGCATACTTGGTTGGCGAAACCCTCCAGAGATCAGGTATACATCAGTGTTATTGGCCTTCAGCTTCTTGATCAACTCATCTATGCCTGGAAAATCCTAAAAATTACAATAAACTAATTCCAAGTTACATTGACTAGAATGTACTTGACATGGGAGGGAAAAAATAGACAGGTCATTGAGGAAAGTAAACACATTGACTGCCAAAAAAAAAAAAAAAGTAAGGCTACTCAGAGAAAAAAAAATGGTTGTAATGTCTTACTTACCATGTTAATGCAAATTCCAAACAACATAAGATGGATGGTTTCTAGAACAAGGTACTTAAACAAGCATGAAATTAGAACTCCACCAAGCCACAAACCAAGAATTAAGATTTGTTAGGCAGATGGAGGAGAAAGGGATGGCTGTCTATTGTCTACAAGAAATTTCTTACTGGTTGATCATCAGACTAAATTCTCTATAATTTGGTAAAGCATTAACAGATTGTACTGTTTAACTACTTCTAATTGTATGGACAATATTAAACTATTAGAAAAAAAAAAACTTGTAAGGAGAAATAGCAATTCTCATATTCCATCAAGGAAAAAGAAAAGTTGCAAGACATGATGTGGTTCCTTAAGCTTTCATTTCATTCTATAGATAAGATCTAAAAGGAACCTCATGAAGTTAGACATGTCATAACTGAGAAATCAGAACTCTAATATCCTTCAAATGGGAAAGCCAAAGAAGGGCCAGATCTTTGAACACTAAAGAGGCAAGAAGAAGGCTAATACAATGTAGATGTGCAAGCAAGGATAGCAGCAACCTCAAGCCATTGTAATTCAGCATTTGCCATAGAAGAATTCGTCCTTCTAAAAATGAAGTAACAAATACTCCAGATATTGAAAGCAATACAAATGAAAGAAGGGGCTCACACCTGAGAGGTTTTCTTTTCAAGGAAATCCTGTAGATGGGACAAAGAAGGGTTTAACAGAGATAATCTAGCAGCAAGAGCATCCTCAAAAGGAACAGAACCATTCATTACCCTGGAAACTCCTCAAACAAAAAGAAAATGAATGTCAAAATTCTTCAGCTTTTCCATCTAAATTCTGCCAGTTCATCTGCCACTCTGCCACAGCTTTTTTCACACCATCCTAGTTTTTTCACACCATCTAAAAAGTTTTGGTGTGAAAAAACTAGGATGACGTGAAACCTGGCAGTCCACTCTGCCACAGCTTTTCCAGCTCCACAAAATTCTGCAAGTTCATCAATGCCCTCATCCAGGCAGACAGTACTATCCACGTCAAAGCAGACTGCATTGGCATTCTTCCAGGTGTCAAGAACATCTGTCAGCACACACAATCCATGACATTAACTCTCAAAGGATCATTATTTAGATTGGCATTCAAAACCCACTTGAACAATTAACTATTGGGCCTCTTAGGCCGCAGCATCAACGCCAAACTCCACTTTAGTGATTTTTCATTGATTAGCTAAGTCGAATCCACAAATCCATAGGCCCTTCAGGGCTCCTAGCCATCCTCACAAACATTGATATAGATCAACAATAAAGCAAAGACTTGCCGAATTTTTCCAATGCAACCTTTAGATGGCACAGTGTTGTCGAAGCCAGCAGGAGCGGCGGACTCCAACGGTTGTTGAATTGAAGCAGAAACTGAGTTGAAGCTTTTGGATTGGTTTATCATCTGAAGAGGGTTCTTATACAAACTTTTTGCTAAACGGAGGGTATTCAAAGAAGAAAAAGCATACTGTTGATGACTAATGCGAGGACAAACCGGAGTCAGGCGCGCACTAATCAACCCTTCCATCAGATTATCTGCTTCTCAATAAATTAAAGAACATGTCCCTCGTAAACATTCCACCGAACATATAAATGAATCAAATTGAGCCAATAAATCCATCAATGTAGTTCTTGGAGGTAAAAACAAACACAGTGGCAAAGGTAACATAATCGCCAGCAACCAATATGTATTGATCATTATACAGAACTTGTAGAGAAATTTAAGAGAGAACCCAAAAACCATCCAAGAAAAAGAAAGCATTTGAAGAAAACATTCCAAATAAACGCAAAAAAAAAAATTGTACTTTTTTTCAAAAATTTCCCGCGAATACCTATCCCTGCTTCGTTCTTCAGTCAGATCTCTGCCTCGAAGCCCGAGAGAGCCCAGCTGGTTTTCCGGTTGAGAAAAACCTGAGTTGGGTTAAGGTGATGGAATGGAGTAGTTCCCAATTTCCCATAGATCACAGGTATATCCCACATTCCAAATGCAATAGTTGGATTGAAATATTGGCCTCGTGATTTGGACCTGTAACTGAACAAGAATGTTACGGCCTACGGGTAACAATTTTAGAGGGCATCCTCACACTTATCACTGCATTTCCGAGACCCAAGTAAGTTTGGTGATGTGTCTTCTCATGCTCCAGAAACGATAAAGACAGTTAAAAGGGTTTGGTGATCAATTATAAATATACCGTTTTTTTTTCTCCTTCAAAAGGAGCTGGAGCTAAACTGAGCAAGAAGTTTGGTGAGACGATACCAGTGCATACGTTCCACCAATTCCATAAGCTTGTTCTTATATTTCAAAAGGTTGATTAGATTGAGAGAGTTACTATATATCACAATATATGATAGAAAGTTGTTTGAAGCTGCTTCAAGACCTGCCGTTAGAGCTTTCACTTTATCATCATAACTGGACGCGGCCCAGCACGGTGCACCTTCAGCAATGGTCCCTCCTGTTCGAGTTTGATGATGAATGTTCTTCCTGCACGGCCTGTTGCAGGATCAAAAGAGCCGACAATCCGTAAGCTATGATAATGCAATGATGCAGCAGAAGACCCTGAGGGTGCAATCTGTGCTAGACGGACTTAAGGTACTGTGTTGCCTTGTCGATTAAGGCTTGCCAGATCAAGAAGTATGATAGAACACATCCATTTCCAAATTGTGTGAGAGTAGTTTCTTTGCCTGTTTCTACCTTCAAAGAATGATCAGCCAACCTGAAATGATAATGTGAATGGGCTGTCGAGTAATCCTATCTCCATCTGGATTTAGACTACCTTCGGTTGCCAGATCAAGCTTGTTTCTTTGTCTGTTTCGTTGGCATGATTGTCAAAATTCCCTCTTTGATCGGTGCTCCGACACTAAAGCTCAAGGACAGATACAACCTTCCAGTGACAGCGGAAGGTTTGTATCAAAAAAGATTCTTATAAAAAGCATGGAATCTGAATCTACAGTCGGCAGCACCGTTGTTGTATATACATTCATCAATTCATGGACGAAATCCGAATTCTAAGGATTGCGTCTTGGAGGAAGCTGGTCCAACATCTGCTACAAACAATATTACTCTTGATTGGTTCAATCCCTCACCCAAAACAAGCAAGTATAACAGTTGCTGCTACACGGAAATCAGAAATAAACACATCACTTGTTGATATACCTTGATAACAACTGTTAATGGTTAGGCCATTTTTTTTATTTTTTCCATTCGAACCAAATGGTCAAACAACTGTGTGACTGACACTGAAACCGGTGGCCAAAGCAGTTTTATTTTCAGGTCTATTTGAAAAACCGTCTGGACTAGACCAGGAAAATAACAAGATTCGTTGGAATAAAATTTTGTTAAATTGATTCGTTATTTGAAGTTTTGAACTTATTTCAACAACATTTTTCGTTAAATCACATAAATGATTATAAGTAAAAATTAAGAAAAACTGTTATATGGTATCTGCATGGTTTTGAAAATCAGACCGGATCACAGTTAGACCAGTTGACCCGGGAATCGGTCAGGTAACTTCTTCTATTTCACCCTAAAATTGCTTTTGGGCCAAAAACCATGAATTTGATCAGTGACCCGTTGACCCAAGCAGTTGAACCGTCAACCTGGTGACCTGAACAATGTTTTTGTCCTTTATTTATTTCTTTCTTTTAAATCAGAATGCCCCGTCCGTTCAAACCAAACAGTCAGACCATTCAACCCGAAAACCGTTCCATGTCTGATCCGGTTTTTAAAACCTCGGTTATCTGTATTTGCCCAAGAATGAAGCACCAAATCGTTGATTGGATGGCTTGATAATTGGAGCCTTCAACTACACTCGTCCATAGAGTGGAAACTGGAAAGTTAAAACATGAGATCAAGAACAAAAAAAAAAGAGCTAATTTTATCATAATACTAGATATACTCGAGAACAGAACCCAATCACAATCCATCCGGTTTCAGGGTAGGCCGTTGATGTACCCATCCCTGCTAGAAATGTTCGAGGTTAAAAATAATATGGCAGAACTGAGGTGAGGGGATGTTTGGTATGGACTATGGAGGCGTGATCTCGTCTTGCTTGCTGGGAGAGAGGAAGCCTCCGGACCGCCCTTTCCAGCCAGATAGCGAGAGATCACTCAGCAATGATACCGCCGGCCGGGAATGAGTACCTCTATCCCTTACGGGAATCGAACCCGTGTCTTCGACATGAAAAGACGATGTCCTAACCACTGGACGGAAGGTCTCATTTTCAATTCCTTGTATGATTATACATCTCCATATCAATCACCTATCCCTTGTGATTTCGTGCATTGTGCTGTATTTCCTGTGTACTTGTCTTTTTGTTTATTGTGTTCATACCTTGTCCCCTGTATATCATGTTTGTGYRTTGCCCAACCRTATRTTGATTATCCATTATTCTTTATAAAAGATCATTTGTTTTGTGCATTCGAAGTTCTTTGTTGTTAAARTACAGATGTAGTTACTAGAGGAGAGCTAACAACAAGAATATTCATTCATGAGGAGACAAAATATACAAGCAAGATGCTTGAGAGACAAGGAGAATGACCGTAAAAAAGGGGAAGCGAGTGTCGGTACTCAGGGGCACGCTTTGAAAAATTCCCTTTCTTGTAGCTTTGGCTACTGAACTTATGAAAAGAGGACTGAGCCTTAAGCCGCAGAGAGAACTCTTTGTTCCGTCTTTCGGGTTGTAGGGCGTAGGGAGTAGGCGAGTCAGTCTAGTCCTTGAGTAGAGCTRGTTAAAGTCGGAAACACGTTCGGCTCAAGCGTCTTAGGGAAATCAATCTTGTCGCTAGTGAAGTTACGGGTGCCAGTACTCTTGGTCTCGTCGTAGAAAGTATTTTTTGCTTTCTAGTCGTAGTCCTCACACGAATAAAACGTGTTTGGTTAGACATTTAGACTGTTTGAAGTTACATTGGCCGTGCCTCACAAGTCACAACGCAACAGCTTAAATATCAAATGGATGTTTCCTCCAACAGCTATTAGTTATTGGAGCTGTTGCATTTCAAATTATGTGGTTTTTACCTGGCTTATTATATGGCAGTGAGGGGTGCAAATGGATCGGATCCTGATCCGGTCCTATTTGATCGAATTCGGATCACCCCTATTCGATACGAGAAGATTCAATCCGATGTGTTATATATTTATAAATATAAATACATATATATGTTATTTGTTTATTTATAAATATATTGTTTATATTGTATTTTTATAAATTTGTATATATAAAAACATGTATATATATGATAAAAATAATTAAAAAATATTTGTATTTTTTTTATTTAAATTGATATATTTTATTTTTTCTTTTAATAATATATTATTTTTTAAAGAAAACAAGTCAGATCAAATCAGATCCGAAGATCCGATAGGATTCGAATTTAAATCGAGTCCTATCAAATTCAATTAGATCTTCGAATCGAATTGGATCCAACATGAACAATGTCGGATTGAATTCGAATATACCCAAATGGATCGGATTTACATCCCTAGGTTATAATGTGATTCAAGTAGAAATTTTCCTACAACACATACCAAAATGCTTTAGGACAAAACGGACACACGACGCATATATAGTATGTAATTTATCTATTTCATCCTCAATCGTATCACATCTCACCACGATACCAACACCCACCAAGCAAGTTGCCATCTAGTCGGTTTGTAAGGTTTCTAGCTGGTCGTAACGAAGTCTTGGGGTCAAATCCTACCTGCACTAGGGTTGGGGGTTATGTGTTTGGGGGATGGGCTCCCCCTACGGGTTGTGTAGCCCATGGAGCAGGAAAAAAAAAGAAAAACTATTAGGTCTTATGTTTTTCAACCTAATTTTATGAATTTTAAAATTAATTCTTTTAATTATTAATAAAATTTAGGGTAAATTATAAAGACCCCCTTATACTATGAGGTTTGTGACAAAGACCCCCCTGTACTATGACCGTCAGACAAAGACCTCCTTCTGTTAGATTTCTGTTGAAATCCACCATTGCAATATTTTTTAATCTCCATACTACCCTTGTAATAAGGAATAAGAGCAAGAACACTGTTGCTAGCAATGCCGAACCTTGGTTCAAAGATCCATGCATTTTGAGCTCGTTGGTATACATACAAGTGATTTCCGCAATGAAAGCTTGAGATATAAACTCGAAAATCATTGAGAGCTCTCTGCTATCCTACGCAAAGAAATCAATTCTAGGTCTGTCACGTTCCAACAGGAAACCATCCTTGGCATCCATTATTTCTGATAATTATGAATCTACCCCAGGAAAGGAGCTCGAGGTCATGCTTGGGATCATCTTCATCTACTATGACGGGGTTTCTGTTTAGGTTATTAAGGATGATGAACATATTAAATGCCTCAGACGATTGTCGAGCTTCTTTGGAGAGGAAGATAGCGTCGCAGCTAGATTAGGCGATGCTGAACAATTGTCCTTATTATAAGGGTAGTATGGGAATTAAAAAATATTGTAATGGCGGATTTCAACAGAAAGCTAATAAAAGGGTGTCTTTGTTTCACAGCCATAGTATAGGGGGGTCTTTGTCGCAAAACAAAGTACAGGGAGATCTTTGTCACAGACCCCATAGTACAGGGGGGTCTTTCTAATTTACCCTAAATTTTATATTGATTTACAATGAAAATCTTAATTTTTTCTTTTATTTCCCAAATCCCAACAATATACCGTGATAACTCACATTTCACATACTACTACAATATGCGCTTTCTGAGTTCATAACTTATTTAGGTTGTCTTTGGAACTGTTGCTGTTCTTGTATGAAACAATTTGGGTTGATCGATACAAATAGGCATAAAACTGCTCTTCGAGACTGTTTAAAGTTGAAACAAGTATACCTTCAAAAAAATATCAATAATTTGAAAGATCAATCTTGACCATCATACGTAATGTGAGAGCAGATCTATCTCACTAATTTGAGTCTTTGGTTTAATATAGGGTTGTAAGTCATGCCGGGTTAGGTCAGGTTGAGGCCAACCCTAGCCCAACCCTAAGTTTTAAACCCCCAACCCTAATTAAATTCCTTCAACCCTAACCCAACCCAAAGTCAACTTCGGGTTGGGTTGGGCTCGGGTTGGGCCCAACCCTACCTTCTTCCCATCCCTAAAAATCTTGTAGAACTTCTTAATCTTAGACCTTAACTCAACTTTCATTACATATATTAATCGTATGTTTTATTAGTATTTGTTTGTTGATGTTTTTATTGATCCTTTAAATACAAAATTCAAAAAAAAATGTTTGAAATGAATATAGTTTATTATGATGACTTATAATAGATCTTTTATGGGAATAAAGCTATGGGTGGCAAACAACAGAGAGGAAATAAAGAATAAAATATTCAAGAAACATAAAATATGTTATCAAGCTTTTAATATTTCCAATTAGGATTAAGTGAAGTGATTATCTTAAATGAAATAAATGATAGTATGTGGTAGTGGCTATACAACTATCATGCATCTAAACAACCCAACCCGAAAAAGTCAGGTTGGGTTGGGGCGGGTTGTCTAAGGGGTCAACCCTAACCCAACCCAAAATAAAGCCAGTTCTTAAATTTCAACCCTAACCTTAACCCGGGCATCAACCTGACCCAACCCAATCCAACTTTTTCGGGTTGGATTCGAGCTAGCCCGACCCAAATTGCAGCCTTAGTTTAATATTATTGATGCATTTGTAGGATTTCTTACCCATACATCTCTTAAAATTGATTTCCGATACTCTTTATGATGCCAAAACCATGAAAGTTTGAATGAATCTTGGTCATAAACCGGACCCACGAATTATAACCTTTCAATTGAAACACTAGAACACCCATAGGCCATAATAGCATTGTTTTTCTCGATAAAGGTGGACGTTGAAGTTCAAGATTCAGTATCCATGTAACGGAACTTCTCTGTGCCGCTCAGCAGTACAACACGAGTTCAAATCTGCGCCCCACAACATTCCACAGCATATTTCCGCCGTATATTGAGAATATCTCCCAAAGATAGTACCAAAACCGATGATGAAGATGTTTCCAATACACAGGAATGTGCTGTGGGACATTGTGGGGCGCCCCGGGCGCAGATGTGAACTCGTACAACACAACCATGAGAACAGAATAAATTAATAACCTCAATCAATTTTAGCTCTTTTAAATTATTAGACAAAGGACTCAGATTGTATAGAGCCTTATATCAGATTTCAGAACTGCGCCCCACAAGGGGGCGCCCTACAGTGTCCCACAGCACATCCCCTGCCGTGTATTGGAAACATTCCCGATGATGTCGGGACTGGTACTATTATCGAGAGATGTTCCCAATGCACGGCGGGGGTGTGCTGTGGGACGTTGTGGGGCGCCCTCTAGCGGGGCGCAGATGTGAACTCCCCAGATCAAGTCTTCTGTCCCAGAGTAAGATGATTAGGACCCACCATTCATTGATTATGAGGATCCCAGACTGCAACTAGCTGTCCTCTGCCCCCACTAGCCAAGCCAGTCCCGTACAGGACACATAAATCCATTTAGCCAATGAATCAAAACCAACAAAGAGAACACCTAATCTACAATCTTTCCTCGTGCATGAAAAACAAGGCCTATATTTAAACTACGAAACGTAAGGATCCTTAGACCAGTAATCAAATAAGATTACAGATTATGAGCTCCACAAAGATGAGACAAAAAAGATGGTCACCAAGAAACCTAAAATTAATTTTATTTTGGGAACATTATTGCAGTATCTCAACAAAAATCTTTAGTCAGTAAAGGGTACCACCAATTGTAATCTCCTACTACGGTTTTATTTTCACAGTTGTCAAGTAGACTTGGACTTGGCAAGATTAGCCTTCAAGTGCTGAAGCTCCAGATATAATCTCAATCAGTTCTGTGGTAATGGATGCTTGGCGTGTTCTATTAAACAAGACCACAAAAAGGAAAAAATGATCAGTCACTGCACAAATATATAAAGACAGGAGAAAGAAAAGTAAAAGAACATGGAATACAGGATTTCAGGCCTCAATTTAAGGAAGTGAATGATGCACCATGGTCCCAACTAAGAATAGGACAGTTTAGTTTTGCACTATTCTTTTTCTTTCAGTATGGTAACACACACACACACACAGACCTGTTATAAGTAAGAGTGAGGCGGTCAAGCATTTCCCCAGCATTTCTGCTAGAACTGTCCATGGCAGACATCCTTGCTCCTTGCTCACTGCATGCATTCTCCAATACCGCATTGAACAAAACCTGTAGAAGCGCAGATCTCAGAAAAGCATCAGATAAATTATGCAATAACCATGGTAGTTCTGGTGTTTGGCACAGAATAAGATTGTCCTAAGATTTGTTGAGAAAAATGTCTAAAACACCTCTATGGAAAAAAATTAGCACCTCCAGGTTTTAATATGCACAGTAATATAAAGAAGAATTAAGTCAGAAATGGAAATTGGACTGCTACCTCTTTTTAGCTTCTAAACAGGGTCACACCTAAATTCTTTTTTTTTTTTACCAGTGGCTATAAGACAGGTTCAATTTTATTCTGCCCCCTTCCCGGAGAAAGGAAGAAATGAAAGAGAAAAATGTATTCTTCTCTCTAAAAGAATAAATACTTACGCATGAAAATTGGAATTCAGCAAGATTTTGAAGAATTTCCCCTTTTGTCTCACCGCCTTCAATTTCATAGGAATCAAGGTCACCAAGTTTGCCTCCAGATTCAGCTTCTCTCTCCACAACCTAATCACAGAGAAACTTTAAAAAAATTTCGAAGAATGCTTCTAAAACCAGCCAGGGTACACTATAAGTATCAAATCAATCTAGTCACCTCAGGAGATAGTACAGTTGCCACTGTTGGCACAAAAGAGACAACTGAATGGAACTTGTTGAAGACAATCCTCAAAGCATCATATTCAACATTCTTTAATATATCATCTGCAAGAACTGCAACCTGAAAAGGAGGACAATATGAATTATTCATGAGATAGAAAGATAGGACAATCTTATCAAAGATATACTGCAAGTAAGCATTAGCATCTCATAGCCCACATCTTATTGGATAAGCAGAGCCATCAGTGACCTCCTTGTGAGGAATATTGCAACAAATTTATTTATTTTGGAAGGAGCAGGGATTTCCAATTGAATTTGAATGGAAGGAAGTAATCACCAATAACCCTATTGCCAAGAACCTCTCTCTCTCTCTCTTTCTCTCTCTCTCTCTCTCTCTCTCTCACACACACACACACACAGACACGCGTGCATGCACGTCTCTGTGCCAGAGTTTAAAAAATGATAAGAAAAATTATAATTCCCTGAATTATAACATATCAAAATAAATTATGCTTCCTATGACAAAATAATTGACATGGGAAGAAAATAACCTGGGTATAGTTCAAAGGATTCTTTTGCAGCTCAGTTATAGATATATCAATGTCCTTCTTTGAGTCACGTACAAGTTGAGCCTTTGCTTTTTCGCCCAAAATGACATACTTTGTTTCCTTGTCAGGACCTGATGTCAGAAAATCGAATTTAAGTTTGCAATAAATTCATTATCCTAGCAGGCATTATAATAAATAAACAAATGGCAATAGTACAGATGTTTCCTTGCAGTACCAGAATTCAACTTGTAAAGAGCCTTGCTGATCTTGACTGATGTAGAGTTTATTCCACCACAAAGACCCTTGTCAGAGGAAATGGTAACAATAACATTCTTCTTGACATCAACACCTAACATTACAATTAACCAAATAAAATACAGTTCAGAAATAGTATCTTACCGAAAGTATGATTTGTGAAAGGGAAAAAAATGAAGGTGATCCATAATATAACAACAAAGCCTGCATTAACACTATTAAATCAACAAGAATTATTTTCTCTTCTTTGTTTTTTGGTAGAGGGGATAGGAATTGGTAATGATTGTAGGAAAAATAACACAAATGAGGAGAGGGAAAAACAGGTTAAATGTAGGACTGAATGACCTAGGAATCTTCCATGTGGCAAATGAGTTAGTCCAAGAGGACTCCTGGTACTGGTGTATTGCTCTTCCCACTCTATATTCCTAGAAAAGGGCCCAAAAGACTTGCTATATTTTCAAAAAAGCCAACCTTTTATGGACAAGTTTAAACTAAAGCTTTTAATGGCAAATATTAATTGAGAAAACTTGACGTAAGGTGGGGTGCAGGGCCTATGTGGACTGGAGGTTTAAATATGTGGCAAATCCAGAGGGCAACCATTAAGTGGATGGTTCAAATTAGTCACACCATGTAACCATATGGGTTATGGGATGAATATAATAGGTTGTGTAGGGAAATTCCCTACTTGACCCAATATGTATGTATTATGTAGATACCAATAACATCCTGCCATTATTTAGATTAGCATTAGCATACCTCAGGATAAAAGAGAACAAGTTGCTCATAAAGGAAGCCAAATTAAGGGTTACTTTAATACTTTTATAATATTAGTCAATTTCTGCGAAACTTTCTGTTTCCACAATGCCTATACATTGGAAGATTTGCTTTCTGAAACAAACATCTCCAAATTGAAGGCTGCAAAAAACTTGTAGGCCCCTGATAGAGAACTATTTACTTCAGCCTTTTCAGTCATACTTTTATAAAGTGCCCAAACAGAAGTGATCTAATCCCTGCTTCTCTCTTTGAAAGCTTGAATAAGCCCTCAATTTGCAAGGTTCGCCAAGAAATTGCCAAAGTTCCTTCTCTAGGGGAACACCACAAAATGTGATTACCAAAAGCATTGGAAAAAGGCCATAGTTCAATCTCCAATCAATCATGAATTGATAATTACCACACTTTTAGAAACCCTTCAACTACTATGGTACTACCCAATGAAATTATATCATTTTAATTTTCCAAGTGGTATCAAAATGCACAACTCCTTGTCTTCAGACTTCAAAGGTATTCTGTTTGAGTAATGGGTATATGTCATCCAAAATTCAATTAATGCTATTCTAAAGAATATTCAGCCTCAAAAATCTTAACATTTTTCAACTAACAGGATAATCAAGAGAATGATGCAAACCAAAGTTCTTTCTTTATAAGTAATAATAAAATTACTAAATTATGAAAAAAGAGGTCTGTTCTCTATTTTTCAGTCACCAAGTCAACCACATATTCCTAACCCAATTTGCATAAATACTAATAATGTTTTGGGTCTATTTGCAAGATCTATAGAGGAAATGATTCTGGTGGTGCAGCATATGAACAACTTCAACCACTAGAAACCTAGGGCCAAAGAATAGAACACATAAAAGAAGTACACAGAAAGAGAAATTACACTTTAGATAATAAAAGTCCACAGAACTACAAATTATGTAGTCTGAGGCTCTAAACATTAATAAAGTAATACCACATTATATAAAGAAGCAGGCAACAATAGGTGAACTTGAGCATAGCAAATGAATGCTGGAGGTTCACAGATAAACTTACTAGGAGTATCACCAAGAAGTGCAGTGAATGGTTGCCATAGGCCACGTGAATTTTCTGCTCTAACTTGAATTGCTCGTAGCTTGGAAGCTGCCACCATTTTCATTGCCTTTGTGATTTTCTGAATATTTTTGACACTCTTCATTCGATTTCTGACTGCATAAGAAAGATAAAGACATGTAACAACTCATTTAGTAAGCACATTATAGTACTGAAAAAACACAACAACCTGGCAGAGAAATTTGAAGTAGGATGGTGATTCATACCTACTTGGGTTGAAATAGAGCGTGCGCCATGAGGGGCCAGATCACTGCACATCCCAAGCTTCAGTAAGTTGACTGAAATAGCAAATAGAGGCACCAAAGAATTTGCAAATAGACACCAATAGATATAATAAGAAATAATTATTGTATCTATCCTCAACATTCTCTTAATATCAGCATTAGTAGGAAAATTCGAAACTAAGGGGTCTAACTGTGCCAACTATTGGCACCTGACACAACACATCTTCTAAAATCTAAAATCTTAGTGATGCTCCAAGCTCAGTCAGCAAAGAACCTGAATAAATATTTCCAAGCATAGTGGTCTCATGAAAGACACATCCAATAAGGAGTTAACACTTTCACCTTCAAAGGTTCTCTTTGGCATCTTGTTTTTATTATATTTTCAATTACCGTTTATCGGTGTTTTCAGCACACCATTAGTTTTGGAGGTTGATATGATGGACACTTGCAGACATAATATGTTTATCATATCCACATGTTACGAGTTTTTAAAGAAATATCATTAGGTCAAATCTAAGTAGATAAAGTCTAGTATAAGGCAACAAATGCAATTGCCGGATTTGTGACTTACCACAAGATACATTTTAAATACGACCAACCATAAGACATTCTGCAATAGTTTTTGCATAATAAACTAGCTACCTATGTGTGCATAATCAGATTATTCCCAGACCCCGAGCTCCAATGAGCACTATTCCTTGGGAAGTTGATCCTAATCCATGGATCAGTCAACCTGGAAATCTCAGATAGACTCCATAAGATGTTGAGTTCCATAGAAGGATACAATATATGAATTCACAATTCTTGTTCTCTATATTGTAATAAATCAGATAATTGAGAAAAATGGAGACATTACATGATTTTAGGAAGAACATCATGTTAATTTTTCCCAGTATTCCTTTTAAGAGAAAGGTTTAAAAAGAAATCCCACCTCTACCATGCTCAGAAGTGAGAGAACTGACATTTAACATCAAATTAACTTTCTCCAATTATAGTTTCCGTAGGAAAGTCAATGACTATAATAACCTACAATGATATATTTGAACCTTCTAACTGCTACTTAATAATAATCTAAACAGCGACGCCATACATATCCATTACTGCCACGATAGAATGGAATAAAAATCTATCCTTCTCGTCAGTCGTCACCGATCTAACCTCTAACTATAATCATATAGTTTCTTTATAAAATAAATATCCGTACGAACGAATGTTATTTATACTTCTATTTAATTTTCTCCCTTGATGTAACCGTAGTAACAGCCCACAATGAGAGGGGAGAAATGATTAAAGAAACACAATGAAGGTCAATAATAACGGTAAAAGGTGTCCATCACAAACCGGGTGCAGAGATTGATGATAATACTTTTAACATTCACATACAATATAAACCATTTGAGCTTCACCAGCTACAAATTTGCACGAAATGGATAAATTAAATTTGTAGAGGAACGCAGAGATCCGAGAGGATGTAATTGCCATCAGTGAAATCGAATCGTTTAAATCAGGAGAGACTAGAGATATATCTTACTCGGAAAGGATAGAAGATCGAGCGGCATTCATGGAATTAGGAGAGATCATGGGGACGAAGCGCCTCCCTTCTCGTCTCAGCGCAGCCATCGCCATGGTTGAACTTGAACGGCGTGTTTTAGCTTTTCGTTCCAAGCTCTTTTCTGATTCTGAAAACTCTCCTAACCTTCTTTCTTTTTTCTGGCGGACGCAGAGAACCTCACGGCTTTGGCTTCGATTGCCCCGGTTTAAATTTTCTTCCTGTTCGAAGCTTCTTACTCATTATTGTTTCGAACTCCCCAACTTTTGTAGGTTTTTCACTTTTTTGGGTAAAATTTTAAAACCTCCCCTAATAATAATAAAAATAACCTCCCCTGAGGTTTCACTTTAATGAAAACCATCCCTCTAATTTCAAAAAAATCTGCAATTACTTCCCTTTCATTTTTGTTCGAGTGACGGAAACTTCAAAAATTACGAAATTTCTCTTTCAATATAATTCAAAATACCATATTTGACCTTCTAAACTTCACTAGACTTGGTGTTTTTGCAGAGAAAAATTATTTTGCTACTCTTTTCAATTTGACTTGGGGGAATTTTTTAATTAAAAGTTGAAAATTCTTTTGAGGTATTTTAGTAAATATCTATCTGAATTGATAACTATAAGGGTAAAATGGATATTTTCGAAAAAATTCATTAGGCCAATGTTTCGTGAAGGAAAATAACAAAATGGGAGCTTATGGTATGTTTTTTCAAAATTATATGGCAGGAAAAGTGAACATAGGGGAGCTTTTTATATTCTACCTTTTTTCGGTATTTATTGTATTGTAAATTTTACATTTTGACTTTTTGAGAAATTACCGAAACGCATTTATGTGTTTGGTTTGAAGGAAAAAGTAGGGAAAGACAGGGAAACTATACAAGGTTTGTAAAGGTTTTCGTACTTTTTCTTTCAAACCAAACATAGCCTAAGAGATCTTATTGACAAAGAAAACCCATGTTCTTTGTTTCAGATTTATGTGGGGACCAAAGAAAGTTAATTTTCCCATCTCCTAGGTGGGTTAATTAACTTTCCCATCTAGGAAAAAGTTGCCAACACCGATGGAACAAAAATGACCCTTTTGATAATAATATATTTATGGCTAAAATGGCCATTATCTTATTTACCTGGAAAATAAATGAACATGGGTAAATAACTTATTGAAAAACGAATGCATTTTTAAGGGGAAGTGATTAGGGCGCTACCATTTTTCTTAAGCGCCCATTTGGGAAGACCTTTGGGGAACAACCTCTCATGTATTGATCTGGCCCCACATGGAAGTACAAATACAAATAAAGACAAAATAACACAAAATACAAGATTTTGCACTCTACAAGTACAAATGCAAATATGTACAGTGCAAATACATATAAAATAATACAAAATACAATGTTTTCAACTTAACATATTTGTATTTGTACTCCTTCCAAACTGAGCCTTAGTGAAAATTCAGAAAACCAATATTGGATTCGGGAGACAAAAAACATGGCTGTAAATTAAAACTACTCCAAATAGCGTGTTTGGAACACAGGTGCTCAACAACAACTCCAGATCTCCTGCCCACGCCTACCCACAATACACTACCACCGTGAATTGCGAACATCTCCCCCTGCATAATTCTATGCAGAGGATGAGATGTTCTCTATTGAGATAAACATGGGCAGAGTTCTTATGGAGAGGAGATCTGGACTCCTCAACAACCATGCCTCAATCAACATAACGGGAGTCCGGATCACCTTCCAACCCTCTACCAACATGATCTTACACTGCACATTTCATAAATGACAGGTCCCACTTTTATGATGTATCCCAGTCTCATGGTGAGGTGTGTGAAATTGATAGAGGGTTAGAACGTGTTTTGTTGGAAGAAAGATCTCCACTCCTAAATGGGGCATGTATAAGCCATTAAGTCCGGCTGATCATCAATGTGGCCTCCTAAAGATTAGTGAATTGACCTCATCCATCTAAGTACCAGGATTTCAATTAATCCTAGCCATTTAAATAATACACGAAAAATCTCTAAAAAATTCAAACCACATTATCGCATACAACATATGATCTAGACCATCAAGGTAGTTTCATAAAACCAGCCAATCAATTTCAATTCTCAGCCATCCAAACGGCATGCCAAGACTTCATCTAATGTGACCCATCTAAGATCAGTGAACCAATCTCACAAAAAATTACTAAATTAACCCAAATTCTAGGCAATCGAAGTGGTGCCCCAGAACCTTATATTAATTGCATCCATCCAAGTTATTTACCAGATTATAGTTGAAATCTGGTGCATCACTTGGATGGTTGAGATTATTTCATAGATATTAAGAGAATACTTCATCAATGGCTCGGATCTTTGGGTTGATTTAATACAACAATGGCATCCAAACAGACTGTTGGGCTTCAAAAGTACAATATATGTTTGCAGCAACCAAACATGGTAGAACGTTTGAACAAATAGCAACCAAAAGAAAGAGAGCATTCTATTTTATTTAAATCGCAGCTATTCTACATGTACGGTAAATGCACTCATAACAAGCACGTTAGGCTGTGTTTGGTTGCAGTGCAAATGTAAAAAAATGCAAATTCTTGTTTAATTTTATTTTGGATTTTACTTTATTCTGCTTCATATCTTAATTTACTTCATTTGTACTGCAATCAAACAAAATAAGCCAAAGTTTGAAATAAAATAGGTCAGAATTTACACAAATCATTTGCACTGTCATAGTTTTGCATCAGTGCAAGTTTATTTACATTGCAACCAAACGCAGCCTTAAGAACATTTGATTCTGAAGGAGGACTCAGACTTGAGTGTCAAGATTTTGGCATCCAACCTTGTCAGTTTTCTTTGATCACAAAACTTGCTTCTGCTTTTCATGGCAATTTCTGTATACTGATGAGACTTCTGCTTATTAATTTCTTATCTACCGATTCCCAGATGATGCCATGAGTATTCCTACTGCCACAACAAACATGAACAGCATACTTACGAGCAATGCATACGTTCTTCTTGACGACCTTCTGTACTCTCCAAACAGAAATATACCCCACAAGGTAGCCACAAGTGGAAATGCCTAATAGTTTGATGCGCAATTCATGAGTAAATGTACCCGATTTGAAAGAATGAAAGATAGGTTCTTGTATATGTTGACATACAAGCTATATAATATATGTTGCTATAGATGCACATAAACATAAAGAGACAATGGCATATTAGATGTCTATTGATGCATACATACAGGCTCATTGCAATGTTCCAAAACAGGCGTTTTAACGCGGCTCTGTTTGGTTGCATGTAGTGTGAAGTAAAAAGAATGGTTTCCAATTAACATGCTATTATAAGGTGTTTGGTTGCATATGAAATGGCATTGGAAAATAGATATTTTCTAGAAAGTGGGTAGTAGTTGTAGGAAAAGGACAATCCTAATTTAAAATTTTCCAGAGGGTTGGTTATCTTGATTCAAAACTCGTGAGTTTTTCAGGTTTGTTTTCCAAGTTGGACCAAACACCACAAGATTAGGGCAATAATTCATTTTCCTGTTGAATATAGTTTTCATAGGAAATCATTCATTTTCCTTCATATTAAGTTCAACCAAATGCAGGCATAATGATGACTACTTGCACTGCGGTAAACAAATACTCTCATGGTGCATTTATCTTGTTGCAATTGATCCAGGGTTGGCCTAGTAGATGGATTTCCTTGTGTTCTATATGAGCCTGTTTTTATGAGCAACTTTTAGATTAAAAAATTGGAGATTTAGAGAGCTATTGTCAATTGACAAAAACTTCAAAACAAGGTTGTAATAGGGATGACATGAACTATGGGAATCTGATACGTGGTAAATCAAGAGGTTCCCCTACAGTTGAGTATGTCACGCAAGGAAGCTTCCTCCTTGAATCGATTCTTTAGGTTTTGAATCAGATCTTTTAATTTTTAAGTATTAAGAATAAGTGGAAAACTGGGTCATTGCTTAGTGTAATTGTAATTTCTCAGGCTGACAAGCATGAGAATGTAGGTTTGAGTCTAAAAGCTATCATTTTCTGTCAAAAGTTAGGTCTGCATCCAATCCACCCTTCCAAAGTCTTCTGGATAGCTGGTACCAGCATATGGGTAATGGCCTTTTAAGAATTAAGAAAAACAGATTGCATAACATGATATCTGGGGTTTTTACTCATGGCAGTGGAAAATTTGTAAGGTATGAGACCCAAACAAAAAGGAGAGTAGTAACAGACTAACAGTAGCTCCCTATCTACACAGTATATACTAACCTGAGCAGCATTGGCTGCTGCATATCCTGCGGCCTGACCCCCCATGAACAGAAAGCCATTCCCAAATCCACACAATAGCCCTGCCAAAAGGGCCCAACTTCTGCCACATGAATCCTTAAGATAAGCTGTTAGTGATGATTGCGGCAGGCCAAGTATGGGATAGTAGAGGAAGTTGATATTCAGAACAACGGCAACAATAACAAAAGATACTGAGAAATAGAAAAAAGCAGTGTATGTGGCCAAATGTGTAACCCCTTCTTTCATTGTGTGGAACTGATCATTTGTTGCCAGGTTGAATGCAGGTGAAAATAGTGCAAAACAGACACCAGCAAAGAAAGTGATGCTCAGTCCAATCAAAATACTCTTCCCAAGCACCTGCCAGACCAGTAGCCTTGTTAGTACCCTAGGAAAGGAGATCAGTACTTGGAAGACTATAAACTATAAAAATGTGATGAATCTGACTATAGAAAATTCCCACTAACATGTTGATATGACTTTCATTTTATATACATGTCAAATTGTAAATACACAGTTTGCAGAAGTACAGAGACATTTATGATATTTATGAGGAATGCTTATACATGTGCATGTGTATGAGTACCTAAATATCATGTGGGTATATTGCCAAAATGTGGAGTCACCAACCTTGATTGCTCTTTTGTTTTCAACTTCTATGAGGAAGTCTGCAGTTCCAACTTTTGTTTTCTCTGTAAGAAGATTTCCATTCTCCACATCTTTCGTACCATCTAGCATTTTCCATTGTTAATGGAAGGTATCATATATTATCCACGTATTTAGAGATGGGGGTCCAATGAACCCAACTAAACAACATTACTTACCTCCATTTTCAAATGTTTCTTTAAGCAATGGAGAGTCTAGAGTCCTGGCACAGAATGAGTATTGAAGTATATCATTTTATCATGAAGATTGGATGATACAAAATAATAACAAAACTAAATATTGATTTAAAATGTGCAAGTTTTATAATGTATTTAGAAACCAAAAGAAGAGAAAACCAATGAGAAAGACCATTGGAGGATTTATGAGCTTAAATGATGTGAAGTTAGTATCACTCAATCAATGACAATCTCAAAAGTCGGTTTCTCAGTTATATCTTTGGGAAGACTTTCCAGAAAGAACAGACAATAAGACATACCCTGTCCCAGTCTTGCAACCATTTGAGAAACCATTGAGCTTTGCTTTGTTGTCTGCTGCATTCGAGGAGTTAACAGCAAAACCAAGAAAAACTGCAACAAGGAAGCATCCAACACCAGGGAAAAGCACCTCAGCTTTGTTGATTCTGCCATCTAAGAAGTAGTTCAAGGTTGATCCTGTTACATTCAGTGTGATGCTTGAGTTAACTATGTACAATCTGATTTAAATATGTTAAGATATCCAAGCAACCTCACCAAAAACTTTGTTTCCGTATCTGTTTGTGTGTGTGTCTGTGTGTGTTACTTAATAAGATGTACCTATAACAACACTTATGCTTGCTGCAATCACCTCCGTTACTGAAAGACCAACAAAAGCCCAGGCAAACTGTACAGCTAAGTCCCCAAGGCTCAGAACGATCCCACTGGCTAGTGCAAATAAAACACAGGGCCAATTGTCCTACATCAAAAGCATCAGAATGTGAGTTTTATTCAGGATGTTTAAGTAGTTTCCTCTGTGGAAGTCATCAGAATGTGAATTGGGGGGTGGGGATTCCTTCATCCTGTTTTCACATCCATTCTTGTTATAACAAAATGAATTATTCCTGTTAGCTTTTTAGTTTAGGAACAATGTCCCGAAACACAGACTACAAGGCTGCACCATCTAGCTCGTCATGAGGCTCTAAGTTGGTGTGAGCGAAGAATGACCTCTTATACAGTTACTGTGACCAGGGAATACTCTTTTAATTGAATAATGTTGTGGGTTGTGAAGATGAAGAACCCTTGAATTATTGCAAACCAGATGTCCTACTCCATCTTATAACTAATCAGATGTCCCATCTGCAATTCTCAATGAAGTTTTACTCAGTGAAGAACCACAAATAGTTAATGACAATCACTCTTGAAGAATAATAGCAAGAATAGAAGTTACAGGAGTAAAAATAGAATGATCTCTCCCACTCAAATCTCCACCCAATCACATAATACCTTCTTAAGAAAAAATTGGAAGAAAACAGATACCTCATTCTTCCATTGTAAGATATCAAATTCAACAAAAAAGAAAAAAGAATATCTCAGTTCAGCCAAAGCCCAGCAAATTTTGCTTGGTGGAGTACATAAAATTAGTGATGCTTACAAGAAAGAAAAAGGTGAAAACAAGGAACTCACTTGAAACTGAGAGAGCTGAGTGATGAAATTTGGTATGCCGGTTTTGCTGTCACCAATCTGCCCAAAGGACAAAGCAATGATCACGGCAGCCAAGAGATTTGAGATAGAATAATCAAGGTAAGAATGCTGAGGAAGCCGACCCCTTCTCTCTAAAAGAGTCATTAAAGCAGGCCAAGTGCCCAAGCAGAACAGGGCAAGCGACATGCAAATTATGGCACCTTCTTTACCCTCCACTGTATACATCTTCAACCCTCTTAGCTGAGCGATATATCAAGCAATCAATACCAACAAAACTCCTGCAGAAGTAATCATAAGAACAGAACTGGGCAGTAAGTCAGTTACAGAAAAAGAGGTAAGACTCTTAGATATATAACCATTTCAAATCAAAATAGACCCCAAACCCATTGTCTGCAGGGAAGAGAAGGGAGGTCATCTGAGAATCGCAACTCACCAGGGAACTAGAAAACCCGAACACAGAAGAGTTTGAAGGCCACAGGCAATCTCTACATATCTATATATGAAGTTCCCAGTTCTACTCTGCTAATGCTACTGATACAGCCTTCGATCAGATAAAATTACTACTTCATTAAACAAAGTTAAAATATACTTAACACATTTTCATGTAGTGATACAATCATGATAAGTTTGATGGAAAAAAAGTTCAGTTGACACTTAGTGGTCTACTAAGAAGCACATGTTTGTTGAATATAAAATTGAAGCATCAGACACAGAAAGAAAACAAAGATCTAGCCCAACTTGTATTTTCAGTAATTATCGATGTCTCTGGATAAAGAATAAACCAAACAACCAAGCATTTTTGGACGCGTGCAAAGAAATGAAAGGGAGGACTAAGGCCATGACCCACGAATAGAATTCCAACTAAGTAATGAAGTAAAAAACAAAAGTGTCCGGTTAGACGTCAGTATCGGTTCTCCATTTTCCGCATCGCTCATCTCGCAATGACCTGTTTAATGAATCTGCTTCGGGTTCGGGTGGTCTGGGGCCCACATAACAGAAATACAGAAAATCCCGACATATATATATATATATGTTTTCATAAAAAATAAATAATATAAATAATATATTTATGAATACATATAATACATAAGATCGGATTTTGAATCAACCGGATCATGATCCGGTCCATGTGCACCTTACATTAAGTGGGGCCACAGCAATGCATCTAACTAAAGCCATGATTTCATTATTTTAGCTCAGAGCTACTTAGAGTGGAATAGCTGATTTGTAACAGGTCAGGGGTGTAAACGGAATGAATTCAAATAATATCAGGCAATATCCAAATGTGAATTTAATTAAAAAATTTAATATCTGAATTCGATTCAATATTCGACGGATATTAAAAATTAATATTTGAATCTGAATCCTATTAAATATTCGATCCAATTCAAATTCGATTAATTAATTATTTTAGGTAATTAATAAATATTTTATTTATATAAAATATATAAATATATAAATTATTTATAGAATTTAATTATTATATATACAAATTATATAAAGCATTTAAAAATTTTATATATTATATATAAGAAATAAATAATCGATTGAATTTGAATATTTATGGAATGGAATTAGATCATATCTGAATTTAAATCCGAATAACTTTTTGGTATGATTAGGATATCTGAATTCAACCAATTAACTATTTAAATTATCAAAATTTAATTCAATTTCAATTATGTCGAATCTTAAATTTGAAATAAAAAATTTTCGAATACCATTGACATCCCTAACAAACACACAAGAGATGGGCCTATTAGGATTTGGTGGGTCCTGAACATTCTAGTATAGGACAGGTGGCAAGTCATATGCCTCATATACATTCAATGGTCCCTCGTACAGCTATAAATTATAAATTGGACCCAAGCCTCCAACTCTAAGCACGAGAATTACCAGACAAAAGTAGAAGAAAAATCAATATGACTGACAGTGTTTATATAACCAAATGAATGATTTATTGGAAGGATCAACGTGTCAAATCAATTGATGGGGCATTTGCAGGAAGGGGGTGAGGCTGGCAGTGGGTAGGGACTGGGGAAGGAAGCCATCGATCCATCCAAAAACATGTGCGAGGATTATGTGGTAGAGATCAGGATAGGGATGGAAGATATTTCCAGAAACTATCGCCAATGTATGCCTAAACAACAAGCATTAAACAATTAGAAAAATAGAGGAAACCAAATTTATAAACGTGATTGGTTGAGTAACTAACTACAAAACAAATTTAAACCAACTCAGCCTATAGCCTGGTGTCATGACTTGGGAGGCTACCAACCATGAACCATCCCTTATTTCACGGCCATGTGCATGCATGACAAGGAGAGAGAGAGGGCATAGTTGAACTGCCATCCAATAATTAATTAGGTGTTTGGCATTAATACTGTTTTTTCGGAAAAATAGTATCACATCAGTATTATGTCTGAATTCTATTTATTTGGAAAATGGTTTGGTTTAAGGTTCAAAATATTCATATGTATCATGAGCTTTTCGATATGTTTTTATAGAAGGTGTATCGGGGTTTTAATTGGTTTAGAGGGTGAACGGACTTAAACCAATTCCTCTGAACTGGATTTGAAAAAAAGCTAAAAAAACCACCAATACTGCCTGATACGATTCTACCGGCATATCAGACGTATTAATATGTTGAACCTTGATTTGGTTAGCTGTTTTTTTTTTTCAAAAATGATTTCTCAGGCCATGTCTTGAAATGGGGAAATGTGTGGTATTAGAAAACACTATTTGTGGTATTTTCTGGTTTTTTTACCGTTGATAGTAATATTATGCTGACATGGCATCGAAAAACATTTTATGTGACAGTAACGACAATGGCACCAAATAAATAACCCAAAAAATGTTTTCTTAATTTCTGAAAAAACGATGTCCATGCAACACCATTTTCAGAAAATGCCTCTCATTTTCATATTGAGGATGCAAGCTCAATGAGTGTTGCTTTGTTCAACTTGTTCTTGAATGTTATATGAAGGTGCATTCCTCCGGTATGGACCTTATTATTTTCACTTTATGGGCCCTGTATACATGCATCCTCTTATAGGGCTTTAATGACACAGATAGATTGAGAGAGGAAGGGTTTTATGGTTGTATATACTATATAGGACACTAGGGTTTGTGAGAGGCTGAACATCAACAGCCTTTGTTCTTTCATTGATATAATAGATTTCTACTCCTCCCTTAGATAATAGACATAAGGTTGAACCACATTAAAGGGGGGTTTTCCGTAATGGAATACATGTTGTAGGCCACTAGGCCCTGATGTGTTTCAAAGCCTTGAGATTTGGAATACATGTATTTTATTAAAATATCTCAAATCATTGTCTTAAGTGTTCTAACAGTAGGGATGTAAGTCGGGTGGATTGGGTCGGGTTTATGGTCAATCTAGGCCCGGTCTTAAAATTTGAGTTTAAGGTTCGAGCCCAGGTTCAAACTTGATTTTTTCAACCCAAGCTCAGCCCGCACAGTAATTTATGTAATATATATATATATATATATATATATGTAGAGTTCATATTTGCGCCTCACAAGGGGGTGCTCCACAACGTCCCACAGTACATCCCCGTCGTGCATTGGGAACATCTCCCGATGATATGTCAGAAATAATGATGTCATCATCGGGAGATGTTCCTAATGCACGACGGGGATGTGATGTGGGACATTGTGGGGCACAGATCTGAACTCAAATATGTATGCAAAATATGTATACAAATATGTATATATCTATATGTAAATATGTATGCAACATTTACATTATTACATATATACACATGTATGTATAAATGTATATAGTTGGGCCTGGATCGGGCTACCTAAGGGCTAGGCCCAAAGCCCAGCTTGAGGACTGAAAATCCAAGCCTAGCCTGTGTAAAATTCTGGATTGGGTTGGTTTAGGCTTGGGCTAGGCCCGCCCAATTTGCACCCCTATCTAACAGTATGATGGGTTTGAGAACATAAGATTTTAGAACCAACTAAGGGGTGGCTTGTTGATATGTTAGCTGGTTCGTTTCAGCATTGACGTGGAATCAATTCCTGCAACCACCCATTTGGGGAAAGAGGGGTTATTAGTGGTACGTGGCACCAAATACCCAGAAAAAAAGAATATAAGATTTTTTTGTAGTTCAAATTTTGCAAATATATTCAATTCCAACCCNCCCCCCCTAGCTCAACCTAAGATGCACCATTAGGAGTATCAACGGTATTCGAAAATTTGATTTTGAACTTGAGATTCGATATAATCAAATTGAATACGGCTAATTCAAATATCTAATCACTCAAATTCAGATATCATATTCTACTATTCTTATCGAATAGCTACTTGGATTCAAATTTAGATATGACCTAATTTGATTCAATAAATATCTGAATTCGATTGATTATTTAATTCTTATATATAATATATAAAATACTTAAATATTTTATATAATTTATATATAAAATAATTAAATTATATAAATAATTTATATATTATATACTTTATATAAATAAAATATTTATTTTATATATTTATTAATTACCTAAAATAATTAATTAATCGAATTCGAATAGAATCGAATATCAATTTTCAATATCTGATGGATATTGAATCAAATTTTCTGATCAAATTCAAATTTGAATATTACATGATTTCGATTCGAATTTGATCCATTTACACTCCTATGCACCATTCCATAAAAAATGCATTTTCTCTGTGATGTGTTTTGGTATCAACGATAAGAGCCACAACCACACTACGAAAACACCTGAAACTTTGTGTGCTGTTGAATCACTGTTTTTTTTCTATTTATTAATCGTTTCAGATATCAGGTTTGTCATTTCATAACTCTTTAAGTCTTATGGGCCAGTATTGGACTCAAAGCCCAGTCAATAGTTGGGCCGGAGTCTAAAACTGCCCATGTCTGAAAATCAGCCAAACTCATCTTTCGAGCAACCTGTTGGCTTATGATGCATTGCTACAAGCTTCGGATCTGGTAAGAGCAATGCCATCCTTAAGGTATGAACTTCGGATACAAGAAGTCGCTCGTTTTCATAGATTATGAGCAACCAGCACAAGACATTTTTATAGACCATGGTTTTTAAAATTGGATCGGATTGGATAATCGAACTGTAAAAATTTTTTAATGGACAATCACAGCCCACAAGCTGTCAGACCAGTCAAGCTCTCCTGGTCCTGAATCTCTTGGATTATGTAAAGATTTCTCATGCAAACGGGTCTCATACCACCTGCCGCCCATAACATGTAGCAGAGAGAACTCGGGCCACTGAAAACTCCCTTTAAATTAAATTTGGGGTTCACCCTTGGTTTGACCAGTGGGTCCACTGGCCCACTGCAGGCGGCTCTAGCATAGGTCGCCCCTTGCTTTTGGTCTCTGTGTCTTAATGCGTTGACTCCAAAGAAAAGCACACTTTGGAGTCAATGAGGGGTTCTTTCCAAGCAACAGTATGAATTCAAAGATGTTTAAGGGTTGCTCTGTGCTCATTAGATAATAATGGGCCTCTAGGTAAAAGATCATTGTTATTCATTTTCTTTTTTTTTTTTTATCTTTTTAAAACCTCGGTATATTTCGTAAGGATTAAAATATCGATACAAGTGATGTGCATGCGTCCAGATATGGGTGGATATACTGATATAAAAGTTTTTTTTTTTGAAAACTTTATAACACACTGCAGCACCCTTTAATAACTGTAAAATTAAAAAAAAACATAAAAAATAAATAAAAAACAATGTTTTATGGTCATATTAATATGCACCAATACCCACTTGAGGGTGTGAAATATATCGATATTTTAATCCTTGAAATTTTACAATACCCTTTTATTCTGTAATGATTAGGGCAAAAACTTGGGCCTCACAATTACTTACTTTGGGTTAATAAGAACAGATCCACTGTTGCATGGTGCTGGCCCTTGCAAGTTAATGGGGGCATTTAAAGGCATTAGAATTTGTCTTAGGAATGCTAATATAAAGGGTCATTTACATAGACGCCCCCTTTAGTCTGCATTTTGCAACCATTTTATTTATGATTTTTTTCATAAATGGGAGTAACGAAATGACATTATAACATCCATTTGATCAAATTAATCAAAAGAGAAATTACAAAAGAAACCCTGAGCCTATGCTATTTCTCGTTTTCTACAATCACATGGTTGGTTTTGTTTTTTAAAAACACAAAACAACTTCATAGCAAAAAATAATATAATTTTGCTAATGTGACAGTTGTTTTTGGTTTTCAAAAAACAAAACCAACCATATTGTCAAACACCTCCTTACAGTTTCAAAGTTTCAAATAGATTTGTCACCAAATGAAGTTTCAAGAAGCAATAATTCGTGTTCCTTTTTTTTCTTTCCCTTTTTGTTAATATATACAAAGAGACATGGATACATTCTTCGGGTTGTAACTTGTAACTTTGTAACTCTGCTCTAATATCTCCATTTGTCTTCCTTCCCTTCATACTGTGTGCAAACAAATGCAGCCCAAATTCACATGCTCAACCTTCCTAAATCTTTTAGTCTGTTTACACGAATATACATGCCAATCCAAATTGGAATGCTTATGCTCAGTTTGAAAGGAGCACAAATACAAATTTGTAGAGTGCAAAACCTTATATTTTGTATTATTTTCCACATCATAGGTTTTCCCTTTGTATATATTTGTACTGTACATATTTGCATTTGTACTCCTTCCAAACTGAGCCTTACGAGTAATCAAAGAAAGAGAAAGAAAACATGTATTTATTGAAGTAAAAGATATCTGATAATAAATGCATTACAATTGATTAAAGACTTCTTTTCCAAATGGATGCCTTGAAGATTAGTTTACAATCTTTAGAGCATTTAATCCTTGTTCAATCTCTTTTGTCATGGTAACTGCTTTTAATTTCCATGGAAATTTCTATAGATTTAAGGATCCTGCATTTCTATGCTTATTAACATTATGTTTTCCTATGTCCTGATGATGCCATCAGCACTGCTACAGCCACAACAAACATGAACAACATGCTCGCGAGCAAAATATATGTTCTTCTGGATGACCTCCTGTACTCTCCAAACACAAGTATGCCCCAAAAGGTGCTCACAAGTGGAAGTGCCTGCAATATATGCAATTTAAACGAGTAAATCGATAGTATTTAGATAAACAAGAAATGCTTGCATATAGCATATTAATGGAAGTGTATATATGTAGATATGCATGAACAAATACATTAGCTTTTTATTTTTTAACAAAGGCATTAGCTATATAACTGAACACTTCAGACTATTCAACAATACAACATTCAAGGACAATCATTTCCAATAATCTGGATTACCCATAGGCCACCAAATGTTTTGACCACATTCAGAGTTCCATTTCTTCACACAGTGATTATTGGTTCTGCATAGGCAGACAGCTTTATCTGCCCTTGCAACAAAACCTGGGCGGCCCAGTATTCAGGTAATCCTGATTGATGGCCAAGTTTGCTTCATTCTTAATTTTCATTATGTATAAAGAGCCTTAAGTGTAACACATTTGCATTCACCACATGTACTAACCTGTACAGCATCAGCTGCAGCATACCCTGCAGCTTGACCCCCCATGAACTGCAAACCATTCCCAAACCCACACAACAGTCCTGCCAAAAAGGCCCAATTTCTGCCATTCCAATCCCTTAGATAAGCTTTTATTGATGATTTTGGTAGGTTGAGTACAGGGTGGTAAAGGAAGGTGATGTTTAGGATGATGGCAATGGCGAAACAAGAGGCCGAGAAATAGAAGAATGCAGTGTACACGACCAAATGAGGAACCCCTTCTTTCAATGTGCGCCACTGGTCATTTGTTGCCAGGTTGAATGCTGGTGAGAAGAGGGAGAAACAAAAACCAGCAAAGAAGGTTATGCCCAGTCCAATCAAAATACTCTTTCCAAACACCTGTTAAATAAGAGGAGCATCAGTTTAGTCTAGCTGCTATTCAAGAAAGAGGATATTTTTGCCTAGATCTTGGAAGCAGTAGCAAATTAAACACATAAAAGAAAATAATAATCTTATGGAAGTAAATTCGTACTGATATGTATGTAATGACATGTATTATACACAAAAAAGAAACACTAAATCTAGACAGTCTAGATTTGCTGCATTATCTGTCCTTAATGCATCCGGAATAATCAGTTATCATCTACTGAACAAGTCTTGGTGGCATCAATGACCAGTATGCGTGTTTTTATGAATATGCAGGCAGAATGGTGCTCACACATTGTTGAGTTCCCAAAGCAATCACATTTGGATACATGTTAAAGTGTTCTAACACTAACCTTGATAGCTCTTCTGTTTTCAAGTTCCACGAGAAAATCTGCCGTTCCAAACTTTGTCTTCTCTGAAAACTTATCTCCATTCTCCAGATCCTTTGTCTTATCTATCAGTATTCAATGTTTCCAGGAAATGTTGAATATTACCAATTTGTTCAGCAATAAGAGACCGACCCAATTATCAAATGTCTGATCTCCAAAGAGATACTTACCATTGTTTGGAAATGTTTCTTTAAGCACTGAAATTTCTACATTCCTGACAAATGTTGAATTTTGGAGGATGTAAGTTTTGTTATGAAGACTGGATGATAGGATAGGAGGTGGCAATAAAAATTAAATTTTGTTTCCAAATATACAAGTAATAGGGGAAAATGGAAATAGTTTAAAGTTTTGTATGAGAAACTTAAGAATGGACAGAAATATAATAAACCTGACAACCAGATATTGGAAAAACAGAAGATATGCTAAAGAAAGAGAAAACCTGTGACAAATTCCAGTAGAGCATTGGTGAAATTAGGTGATATGTGAAGTTGATTTCACCAAAAAATATAGATGAAGTAAGAGCAGCATGCATTAAAAAATAAGATTGACATGTTAGGGAATGTTGGCTATTGATACTTTCTAGTCCTATCTTGGGAAGATGTATAGAGAGGCTAAAACTATACCGTGTTCCATGCTTGTAATTATTTGACAGTTCTTTGAGCTTTGCTTTATTATCTGCTGCATTGGAGGAGTGAACAGCAGATCCAAGACAAACTGCAATCAGGAAGCATGCAGCACCAGGGAAAAGAATCTCGGCTTTGTTAATCTTGTCATCTAAAAAGTAATTTAATGTTGTTCCTGTTGCATCCAGTATGGCGAAAGATTTAACTTTTTGCCGCAATATTATCTATTCTAAACATTTATACACAGAATGTAATACTAATAATGTACTGTGATGATACAGCATAATTTTCAAAGGAATCTCAATGATCTATGAAAATGTAAATTGTTTCAAGTAAAATATACCTATAACTACAGTTATGCTTGAAGTGATAACCTCTGTTACTGACAAACCAACAAAAGCCCATGCATATTGGGTAGACAGGTTCCCAAGGCTAAGAACTATTCCACCTGCCATTGCAAACATCACACTGGGCCAATTGTCCTGCATTAAAGTGATAAAAAATATTTAAGATCAAGTTCAAGTGATATGTGTCCAAAATGAAATAAAGAGATGGACTATACTTCCTAGGTAAAATAAAAATTGGCCCCATAGAGCAATAACTAGATCAAAATAATTGGATCCAATCTTGTTAAACCATTGCATACCAAATTCAGCAGGATGTCTACAAGAAGCATTATATTTTAGAGTGAAAATGAGTAACCCATGAGATTCCTGGTAAATTGAAACCGAGATTTATTAAGTAGTGTAATGTATCAGGCTAGGAAAGATAAGATAACTGTGACATGATCACTGCCATGAGACCCACATTTCTCCTGAAACAATTATGCTTTTATGGTGCTTTATCGCCATTCCTACAATACTTAGTAAAGTTTGCACAATAAAGAACCAGAAAGAGTTTATCTAGATAAATGTATACTGACATACATAGATATGATATATAATAACCAGATATATATGCAATGCAAACACATACACATGAGAAGTAGTTAGTAAAAACAATAGAAGAACAAAAAAATTACAATAGCAAAATCTCAAGCTTGAATTCACAACTTAAACTGCAAAGGATCAGACAATAAATTCTTCAACAGTTCTACGCTGAAATGGGCCAAAACGTTATAAAACTAGCTTGATATGGGAAAAAACCAAAAGCAATGATAATAAAAAGAGAAAGTAGAAAAGGAGGAACTCACCTGAGAAAGCTGAGTTATGAAGTTTGGCATGCCATGTTTGCTTTTGCCAATCTCCCCAAAGGTCAAAGCAATTATTATGGCAGCTAAGAAATTTGTGATGGTGTAATCAAGGTAAGTATGCTGAGGAAGCCGACCCCTTCTCTCCAGAAGAGTCAATATAGCAGGCCAAGTACCCAAGAAGAAAAGGGCAAGCAACATGCAGGCTATGGCACCCCCTTTGCTCTCCACCACATACATCTTCAACACAGCAAAATTGATACTCTCGATTGAAAGGGGAAGCAGAGAACCAACACAAGAAAAATCCTGTAGGAAGAAGTAACCATAAGACCCTACCCTCTTATCTCCTTTTTAGTGAAATTTAGCAGACCACTGCCTGGAAGACAACAGTTGGCAAAAAGATACTTTGAAAAAGAAAGACAGATCCTCATAGTATGATTGCAAAATTGAAAGCTCTATCAGCCTTGAATACTGGAACAAAACTCTTAAGGAGAACTTCAACAAAAACTACCGAGGAATATCAATCTGTAAATTCCCTGCCCCAACAGTATTGTAGTAAAACAAAATTTGGAATACCCAGTTAAGTTGAAACTCCCCCAATCAATCAACAACAACACCTATGAGCAATAAATTTAGAAAAAGAAAAAAAAAGACCATCCACAGAAAATAAATGAATAAGGGAATACATGAAAATAATTATAGTGCAGACACTATCAGAAGCCGCACTTATTGATCCTTACAAGGAGCAAACTAACTGCAAGGAGAAGAAAGAAAGACACTACAAGAAACACTGTACTTCAAATGGTATATAAACCAGGCCAAATGAATAAAATCTCCAATAAACATCAATATCATAGATACCAACCTCGGATTCTCTCCAAAAGTCGGTTTATCTTTCTAAAGCCGATTTAACAGAGTTTTCTTACTGATCGTACAACTTTGAAGTAAAGTAGTTGCAGAGAGAGATGGAAGCGGAGCCCAAGACACCAAGAGAACTCAAAAGATGCAGGTGAATTGAGATGAGCTCCGAATCCTCTTCAACTCAGTTGGGATAGAATCTATTGGAATAAATATAATCTAAAAAAACAGATACAGTATACCTGGAATCTTTGGAACCATGCGAGGGAAGTCCTTCCTCCCGCCGAAAAACAAGCAACTTCGTTACTTCGTCAAACTTTCCGAGTCAACCAATCGCTTTTCCTTATCTGTCAAACTGGAGTGAGTTGAATTTGATAAGTAGCTTTATCCAGCACGACAACCACGAATAGTAAGGAATTGACGTCCCACAGAATCCAGTCTCTCCATGTCTCCATTTGCTTTGATGATGACGACCATTTTGATCTCATAAACTTTTTTCAGTCTTCAGTACCAAAGTTGATGTTGATGACTGTGTAGGGTCGGATCCCGTCCGGTTATATCAGGCGTCGGGATCAGTACGGGATCTGCTGTTGGCACAATAAAACGGGCTACTTAACCTATCAGTCTATCACAAGTGGAGTTGAGACCTGCCAACAAAACACGTCCCATGATGAGATGTGCGGTATTAGATGAAGTTGGTAGCTAGAGGGTTGGAACGTGTTTTGCTGGCAGGTGATCCGAATTCTCACTAGTGGGCGTATCCATCCTCATTCCTCATAAAATTTGTCCTCTGACCGTAGGAATTGGGATCTGCTCCTTGCAATAAGTTCCTCGTACCGACTTTACAGCCACATCCCATTGTCATTCTGCCCACACAAATTATGCTCATATGTTTCCAATTTATGGGGTAGTGTATTGTGAGTAGACGTGGATAGAGTTCTCTTAGAGAGGAGATCTAAAGTTTAATTAATTAGTGGGGACCCATACAATGTATAGGAAAATCCGAATGGTTGAATAATTTTATTTATTATTAATTAATTGATAAATTAATAATCAATTTTTTCTGTTAATTAATTAAAAGTGTTCAAAGTTATTGATAATATTTAAAATTTTAATAATTATATTTTTTATTTAATGTTGATTTATAGAAAATAATTATTGTTAATTTATTATCAACAAATATTTTTTAATAAATTTAATTTTATTAATCATTTGTAGTAATTTTAATAACTATAATCATTTGTAGTAATAGTTTGTTAATTTCATTATTTTTAAATGAAATTTTGATTGATTTTACATAAATAAAAATAATTATAGAAGCTAACATTTTTATTAATTTCACTAATAATTAACAATTATATAGGAATGGCAAGGGGGCAAGGCACCCCATCCCTATCCCCACCCTGTAGTCAAGACATTTTACCCCATCCCCACCTTGTCCCTATTGTCAGGTGGGTTCAGGGCAAGACACCCACTCCTCGTTTGGAACAGAGAATCCTTGAATTTCTCCACCTCGTCCTTGATGTCATATGAGTTCAGGGTAAGGCACACACTCCTCATCCAGAACTAGGAATCCTCAAATTTTCCTTGCCCTATCCCTAGTGTTGAGTGGGATCAAGGCAAGGCACACACTCCCTGCCCAAGGTTTTTAAAAACCGTTGTCCGGTTTGATGATTCGACTGCCTAGGTCAGTAGTTCACTAACCAAGTCAACAGTTTTTGGCCAAAAAGCAATTTAAGGGTGAAATAGAACCAGTCAAGTGATCAGTTCCCAGTTTTCCGATCTGATCATCCGGTTCGATCCAGTTTTCAAAACATCGCCCCCTCAACCCAATATTCAATTTGATGATAAAAATTATCAAAAGGATAAATTGAGTAGCAGCCACATGGTAAATTTCTATAAGTACTCTAAATTGTCTTTAATTTTCAAAAATGTAATTATATGAAAATTTTGGAAAATTTATTACACTTGTGTAATTTTGAAAATATATTCAAATTTATTTTTAAATTATCATTAAATAATTTATTTTCTTTTTAAATGGTTTACTTACAGAGTTATACTATTTTATATTATATTTTCTAAAATAAACTAATCAATAATTTCTCTATTCCAATATTATACTAATTTATATTAATAATTTGTATAATTATTGGTTCAAATTATAGTTTTCCATTTTCCATAGTCATTTATCTTTAATAATTTTCAATAATTTATAATGAAAATTAAATCAATTTTCAATAGTTTTCCAAAATCTATCAATTGTACTAATTTTTTCTAAAATTCATTTCCCAATCATTTATTTAATACATTTTAAATAAACTTTCAAAAATTTTATATCTTTTAATTTCCAGAGTGCTACTTTACGAAAATGTAGTTTTATGGAAAATTTTGGAAATTTTGAAAATTTTATTACATTTGTGTAATTATGGAGATTTATCGAAAACTGTTTTAAATTGTTATTTAATATTTATTTTTGCTAGGTAGTTTACTAACAAAATTATACTAATTTATCTTTTATTTTCTAATATAAATTAATTAATAATTCCATTTGCCAACATTATAATATTTAATTCCCCATCTACATTGGCTTATTAACTACAATAATAGCAATAACTAAAATTTTATACTTTTTAATAATTGTTAAATATAATTCTTAATTTTATAGAAATAAGTTAAAGAGTTCAAAATGCTGTTAATGAACATGAATATAACAACATTTACTCAAAATACATTAAAATTTCATGATGAGTTAATTAACAATAATATTTTTTAATTTTTTGTAATTTATTAATCATACTTATTAACTTTGGGCAATAACACTATTTAATACTCATTGAATATGGGTTGGATTAAATATTAATAGTATTTAACTATTTTTATTAATTAATATGAATATTTTAAATGAGAGAGAGAGTGGATATAGATTGGAGAGATTTTAGGAATTGATTGGGGAGTGGGGTAACATGATACGTTTCTAATGGCTTAAAGGAGATACCTTAGGAGAGTGATTCTAAGAATATTTTTAGGTAGTTGGGTTGGGAATGATGACATGGCTTAATGGGAGTGGTGGTAAGGAGAGAGGAGAGAGAGTGAAGGAGAATGAAGGGGGGGTAATGAAGCAAGGAGAGACATGTTGACGTTGACTGTCTTGCTATATATATATATATATATATAGATACATAGCGGGGACCCGAGCAATGCACATGCTTTGTTAAGTGAAAATTAAATTATAGAAATGTGCAAAAGTACACAATTGACCAATCTCACCCACTACTTTTAATAATTTTTTTTACAATACAAAAATAACAATAAATAATTTCAGGTAGGGTTGTGAATGAAACTGAAGAAACTGACCAATCTGACACAAATCAACTTGAGTTGGTTGGTTTCTAATATTTCAGATCGGTTTGGTTCAACAATTTCCCAACCCAACCAGGTTGGATCAGTTTTGGTTTGGCCATTTGTAAACCGACCAAAACCGAACTAACATGACCATAGATATATATTTTGATATTTTAAATATATTTTTAATAAGTGAAAGTGGGAAAACTCACATATTCCTTAGTCTAAAACATTTTATATCATAAATTTATTTTTTAAAAATACCACTATAATTGTTTAAATTTTAATTTAATTTTAATTTTAATTTTAATTTTAATTTTAATTTTAATTTTAAGTTTAATTTTTAAGTTCAAATCTTTTGAACAACCAACCAAACTAAAAATTGACCCAAACCGTTACAACCCAAGTTGGCTAGTTTTCACTAATGGTTAGTTAGTTTTGGGTTACCAACTCCCAAACCTGACCAAGTTGATTTGGTTCGTCAATCATCTTGCAAAGCAAATAGAACCAACCAGTGAATACTCCTAATTTCAACTAAATTAATAGTATAATCTCTAATAAATAACTATAGTTTAATCTTCAATAATTATTGAAAATCTATAGTGAAAATACACAGTTATTGAAAATAAATTTATAATGAAAATACAATACAGAACTAATAAAAATACAATAATTACAAAAATATAATAAATACTAAAAATATATTAATTAGTCAATAAAAAGTGTAATCTCAAATAATAGTTTGACCTCTCTAATAAATATTAATCAATAAATTATAACTAAAATACATAATTACTAAAAGTAAATTTATAAAAAATCTACAATAAATTGAATTTAAAAGGTTAAATAGTAGTAGTTTAATCTCTAACAAATATTGAAAATTTTCTATTAAATTGCATGCCAAAAATAGATTTATACATAATTATTAAAAATATGTTTATCACAAAAAAAATAATAAATAATTAGTGAAAATTCAATAAATATTAATTTTAGTATCTATATATAAAATAAATATGGATTAAGATTTGAATGTTATAATTAATAAATATTAAATTTTTTGAAAGTTGATGAAGGAAGATTTGGCCCGACCTCGTAACCACTCAACACATGGCAGAGGCAACAGCTTGGCACGATAGTACGCCCAAGGCGCGAGCTCCGAAAGGAGGAACCAGCGGTCTGAGCTCCCCACAAGGAGCCCGAACTCTCCCTTTGACCCTGAGCCTTACGAGGAGCACAAAGGGCAACAACCCGAACTGGCCCGCCCCAGGGTAGTTCGGGCCACACCTCTATCCGAACTTAAGACTTCACCTCGCACACCACTCCAGCACTTCGCCTCCAGGACACCGAACTGAACAACCATACCTGACCTGACACCAAAGGAGTCTGTATCCTG